ACTGCAAAAGATAGAATTGTTTCCAGAGCTCTAAAGGTTGAGCAGGCAACATGTCTTGTTATCTCTGCTGATCACTGAGCACCAAATGGCTGCATAGATTCGTGCATACTTTTAGAGGTATATTATTATTTGTTTAGACTTTTTGTGATCCAAAATGCACCGGCTGTAATAGCTTAGCTCTGTAGCAGCTATGAGACACCTGGAAACACTACATCCAGTCTCAGCATCCTGTTTCCACCATTTGCCCATTTTGCAATGATCGAGCCAGGCTGAGTGAGAGGATTCATTAGTTCTTAACATGGATTCAGGGAGGCGCTCATTCTTTGTGCCCAAATAAACCGAGGTGGTTTCAGTGTTGCAGGTTGGGCTGGGGTTGACAGATGTGTAAAGAAAGGTGGAGCTACACACAGAGAAGAGGAGGGAGCTGTCCTGCTCACCCATCCCTGGCGAGCCCCTGGGTATAGACCAATTCAAAACAAAGCTCTGATGAAGATCTGTCAGCATGTCGTGGGTTGTTTCAGCTGAGGTACATGGGAGGTGTTGGCTGGAGCATCCCTGTGGTTGGTCTTGCTGGTGGCATACAGTATACAGTGTAAACACACTCACAGAGAACACAGCTGCTAATTAGATACTGAACCAATAGAGTCACTATGTACTTTAAAATTTAAATTATTACCTACCTGATGAGGTTTCTTTTTCTGGACGCAGTGAGTTGGGGCTACCTCAGTGAAACTGAAAATCAGTGAGAGGAGAAGGTTGGCTGAGTGACATTTGAGGGGCCAGGACTGATATATTCATGAGCTCGTGTAGCAGCTAGTTATGTGATCACTCGGTGGATGACAATTAAGCCAGATATAATTATCAGGCAGCCCTGATTGTTGTCAAATTCATACTGGAAATTCAACTTGCACCAAATATCAACCAGTTTTAATAATTTACTTTATCATAAGCATTGTGAGATTTATGATGACCTCTGACCTTGTGTCTGAAAGAAGGCTTTCATATGTGGAAGGTCTTGAAAGCCCGTCAACCCCGATAGTATCTTCTTCCAGAAAAACATCTGCTTCATCACCTTCTCCCACTTGTAAAACGTAAGAAAGTGCTTCCATTTCTTGGGAATCTCTCAATATGTATGGTGTGTGCAGAGAATCCAAGACAAAGCTTACCATCTGCAGAAAGCATCAGCTCTACCATGCTGTCTTTGTTCAAGCTGCTGAAGGAAACAGGCTCTGTAGCGCCATCTGGTGTCAGCACCAGCTCAGGGATATTTAGGAAAACACCAGCTGATGAGTGGGGTCTGTGTTCTTCTTCTTGTCCCCTGCTTTGGCTACTTCTATCCGTCAGCAGAGAGGAAATCATCTGCAGGGTCAGAGTGCTTTTATATGTGTGAAGCGGGTCCCACTTCTTAAGAGGCAAGGGTGAAGCTGAGGTAGAGGATGAGGCAGACAAGGATCTTAGATCCTCCTCAGAAGAAAAAATGTTCTCTTGAGTCTCCAGCTGCTGCTGCTGCTGCGAATACAAGATAAAATCTAAGGGTTGCCATTACTTAAAATCCCTTTGCAATTGTATATTGCAACCAGTATTAACAAGGACAATGAAAATATATACATTGTAAATGACAGGATGTTCTTCTTCTGGGTCGGCTGTATGTGCTGTTTGCTGTGTTTCTATTGCCATGTGCACTGGCGAAGAGCTGCATGTGAGTAGACGCAGAGCCTCGGTGGGCAGAAGCATTTGCTTGCTGTTGGGCTTTCTCTCTGTGTGCTCTGGCCACACTACCTCCCTGAAATGAGAGTGCACGTCATAAATCTGGTGTCTAATGCATATTGTGTTTTAACATAATTCAAGCAGTTGCTCCAAGTGTGACATCTACAACCTCAGTACCTCAACTTGGAATCTGGTTTCCTCACTTCCTTCACAGCCTTTCTGACCAATTTCACCTGCTCATCTGTTGAGACTTTGCCAACTTTCTGAGCCCGGTAGAGCTTGGCAGACAGCGGACATGGTGGCATTTCTGCAAAACAATGTGATTAGATGACATCTCAGTTATATCCTAATACTGTTTAATAATATCTTTCATACCTTTCTTCATCTGTGTCGTCTCTGTGGTCTCAGCTCCATCTTCTTCATTCTGATAAAGATTTTTAGGGAGAGTTAAAAGTCCTTTCTAGGCTGTCTTGGTATGTACATTTTGTCTTGCTGTAAATGAGTGATTCACCCACATTGTTTTCAACAAGAATGTACTTTAAAGCCTCTGTGCACAGGCCAACTCCTTTACAAGTCTGGAGGAAGTATTTGCTCATATCTTCAGTCTCTGTGTGGCCTCTCTTCAACAGAGCCCAAGCATCAGAGTTACAACTGGGGGTTGAAAGCACAAACTGAGTCTGCAAGTGAGCTTTTATTTAGTAACATTACATTATCAAACATATAGTACCTGCTTTGAATAAGTACATCTGCAAACAGCTTGGCATCATCAGTGGTCTCTACTGCAGGCCTGGCCCACTGGAGGTACCGTAATGCCTCTTGAGGCTGTTTCCTTGTCAGGAGACAATGGATGATGCAACGATGCTGCCAGGAGAGGGCAGGAACAGAGGCCTTTGGGCTCAGTAACAGCTCCATGGAGGCCTGGGATTGGTTGTAAGATAGCGCACAGCACTTTGTTAAGTAAATTTCTTATCAATTAAAAGAAAAAAATGTTGTAGCTCCTTTCATTACTTATTATTTGCAAATTATTAAATCACTTTAAAGTATGCACATATCTCATTTGAGTCACCTGCATGCCATTTTGGCCGTTTCAACACTTATCTTTTTAATGTTTCGTTTTCAGCTGCATACCTCGGTGTGTCCATGATCAAGCATCCAGAAGGCTCTGATTTGTTGGGAAAAGGTGGATGGAATTGTGAACGCATGACAAAAAGCCTGAAGGAGGTCATCTTTGCACTGTAGGAAATTTGCCACATCCAGGATGAAGTACATGAGCTGTGTCATAAAAGTTAAGACACATTTAACCTTAAGTAAGTGCACATAGAGAAGCAACAAATCAGTATGTTTCACAGAAAAGCTTTGCTGATTTGGATGGATACAATGGCCTGGACTGACATGTTGTCAATATGAGGGATCAGCACGAGCTTCAACAGCGCCTGCAGATTAGGGGGAGGATAACGTGGATCTGTGCAATCTCCAGACATCCAAATGCACCCGTGTTGTTCGCATAGCTGTGTCACCATGCTCTGTATCAAAGACTTGAATCTTCCCATTTCTCCCTCCTCCCGTCTAATAAAAGGTAAGGAAGTTAAAGGGGAAAAAAACAGGTAGGAAATTGATAAAGTATGTTCAGAGAGAGACTTGCTCTAAAATGAAACCCTTTCAGAGTTACCCCTGTGTTTCAAGACCGGCTTTTCGGTGGCTGTGATCCATTTCCTTCCACATCTGAGTGATACGCTTCACTTCTTGGGTCTCTGACAGAAACAACAGAGAACCAAACATTAAGAACAAAAGGATTTAGAGGTATAATAACAGTTCTTCATCCCAGTTTATTGGGATGTGATGATATCTATACCAGGAAACTTTGGCAGAAGCCCCATGATGCCCCACCACTGAACCAGCTGTCCCAGCCAGATGTGTTGCATCAGCATCCTCTGCTCTCTGTTCCAGCAGCCATGTCGGATGTCTGAGGAGCTGTATGTGTCCTTGCAGACCACACATGGGACTCCCACTCCTGCATAAAGAAGACATTGCATTTCAGAAAGGCTTTTATCATGTCACAGCATTAAAGATTAGGATATCTTTAGCACAAACCATGCCAGAGGTGGGCTGAGCAGAGATGTTTTCTTCCCCACTGGGCCAATGTAAGCAGGTTCCTTAATTTTTGGAGTAACGTGTGCACTCTAGTGAAGGAGCCGCGGTCCAGGAACATCCACAGACCCTGGCAACAGCTGAAGCCTGAGGGAATAATTAAGACACAATAGATCCAAAGATCCAAAGTATATGTTACTCAAAGTAACTTCAACTTCAAATTTAAGTTTGCACATTTAGAAAGACTGAAAATATGATGTAATATGTACTTACATAAGGTTAATAACTCCTTTTTAGCAAACTCTGCTGTCCGCTGTACCCAGCAGCTAAATGTTGGTGTGATTTCCCCCACATCAGTATAACCTTGTTGAAGATACAGTGTTAAAGGAAACAACAAATAACTGTGGAATTAAAGGGTCTTTGCAAAAATTGTACAGAGCACTGGTTTCATGATGAGTGGATGTTCCTTTTCTACCTTCAGCTGTAAGCTTCCTCAACCAGCAGATGATGGCTTTCATGTTATTGCTGGCCAATGCCTCAGACCACTGACCCTCTTTGTCCAGCATCACGCTGAGCTTGTGGTATCGAAACCAAGACAAGGGAGATCACACACAAACATCTAACAACTACTTTACCTACTGCATTGCACAGGTCTTTCAACTGTAGCCCATGTAATGTGCTTAAGTGGTTAAATAGCACGTACACTTAAAGCTAGAAAATCCATTTATATAAGTGTTTCCACACTTACATAAGGAAGACCAGACTGAAGCATGAGGACTTTAGTAAGTATGATTTTGCATTTGTTGGGTCTTCACATACTTACTCGGTGGAATGACTGTGGTCTAGTTTTCTGCTGTGGGTCAGTGAAACTTCCCTCTTGGTCTCTGTAGTGGTGACTGCTGTGAGTTCTGTCTGCCTTGTGGATTTGCTGACTGGCCCGCTAGTAACGTTCTCTTCTTACACAAGCTACTTTCGTCCATGTTAATCCTCTAAGCTCACTCTCAGTTAACATTTCATTGGCTGATTTGCAGAGTAGTCGTGACTGCATCGGTGTGTTTGCGTGTGTGTTATAGGCGGGGAACAAAATAGGTAAGAATATCAGGGGTTAAAGTGAACGTCTCAAGTAAAAGAGAGACGAAAACTCCCATTTTTTCTTCCAGTTTAAATCTTGTTTTTGTCATTTCTGACCAGTGAAGTGGTTTTTATTAACTGGCAAAGTGGTAAATGTACCACATGCTTTTCAGATCACTGCATAGTTTTGTCATTGTCTTTTTCACTTGACTAAATGTCTTCATTTTGGATTGCCAGCTGGTAAAAAAACAAAATATTTCAAAGAATTTTATAGAAAAATCAAATCAAAATGAAATAATAAAAGTAGCTGGAGCCTGACTGCAAAGTTTCTACCACTAGAGAGCACTGCAACCACAATGTGCTTCAGTTTTAAACCTTTTTTTAAAGCATTTTATTATTAATGTAGTCTTCAATACAAACCCCCCACCAAAGACTGTATGTTTATTTTTCTGCATCATTAAAAGATGGCTTAAACTTTGCAGTTAGGGCAATACTGCTGATGCAAAGATGATTTTTTTTTAACTTTATCCTTTTGTAAAACTTTTACTGGTAACACACACACTCACACACACACACAGAGAGAGAGAAAGGCAATCGGCCACTGCTTTCACAGTGTCGAGACAGTCAGATTTGCATGGGTGGCAGAAGGTGGGTCCAAATCCCTTATGGGGCCCATGACTGATTAATGACTAAAGGGGATTAGGAGGTTCAGGACTTGGCTGCTAGTCTCACTCTGATGCTGCTGTGGCTGCATTCACGCTATCTGTGTCACTACAACTACTCGCCGCTCTGGGCTAAATCTGAGGATGTTTGTAAGAAAACAACCTGAAAATCAGAAGTGCAGTGTTATCAAATGTTCATCATGATCACACTTAGGTGAGTGCCGTGGATTTATTCGGGATTTTAGAGGGAGGGAAGAGTTGTTTCGGTTTCTTCAATATATTTTGGTTATATATAAATCATACTATTTCTGGTTGTATATACAGATGATCACATTTCAGCGCAGTGTTTCTTAAAAGTGTTTCTGTTTTCTAGAAATTGTGCAGTTATATGAGTTTTTTTTTATCTACTCTCACTGCTACAGGCTTACAGACCACCTACAGTACAACCATAATGCAGCATCCACACGATATCAATCTCGGCTACCAGGCTAAGCTGCTTATGAAAGGACCTTCAGAGAACTGTACAACCAAACCCCCTCTATTTGTCCCTCCACATCCTCTGGAAGATAACCTGTTCCTCTTTCCAGCTCTATCTGTGTCCTACCCTTAATCCCACCTTGGACTTGAATGAAAACTCAGGGAAGTGTTACGGGCAATGGCAGTCTTAAGAGTTAAGTTTACCAAGACCAAAAGAGACAAGCTGGCCCAGGTGCTCTGGATCCTAAACTGGATCTCGGTAGTTACGGGGGCCATCCTGTTCAGCCTAGGCCTCTTCCTCAAGGTGGAGCTCCATAAACAAGGAGAGGTGATGGCTGAGAGGGACATCCAGTATGTTCCCAACACGCTTATAGCTGTGGGTCTCATCGCTTGTGCCATAAACTTCCTGGGTGGGAAAATCTGCTACGACTGTGTGGACACCACCAAGTTTTTGCGCTGGAAGTTGATCATGCTGCCCTACATCATATGCACCTTCTTCTTCACCTTTTGTGTGCTGGTAGGGGCTCTGATGTGTTACTGCATGCACTGGGAACTGGAAGAGTCTCTGAACCTGGGACTGACAGAGGCCATGAGGTTTTATAAGGACACAGACACACCAGGACGCTGCTTCCTAAAGCGCACCGTGGACATGCTGCAGATGCAGTTTCAGTGCTGTGGAAACAACGGTTATAAGGACTGGTTTCAAATTCAGTGGATAAGCAACCGTTACCTGGATATGTCCCAAAAAGAGGTGGTGGAGTAAGTACAAACTGCAGAAACAGGGTGCTATTTTGGTAAAGTGCATTCGTATTTAAGAGGCTGTGTTCAAATGGCAAACAGAGAAAGAAACAACAGTTGTTGTAGTTCTGTATTTTCTCATTTTAATTTTGATAGGGGTTGACTCACAATCTTGTAGACACCTAAAGTCTAAATAAATGTGTCCTTTAAAACTTCACAAAACAAATTTTGACAATTTTTTTTTACCAAGCTAACATATATTAAAACTAAGGATAGTTCATCTTTGTTTTTTCATTTCATTTTAGTTCGTTTTGCAAGTTCACAATCATTTCACTTAGTTTTTATTGTTATTTTAGTCAAATAAAATGTTTTTTTCCCTTCTAGTTTGAATTTTTAGTTGAGTTTTAGTTCATTATAATTTCCCTGCATCATATTTGATACTGATATATAATTTCTTACACTGTGCTATAGATATTCAGTAACACTGAAAATGGGCAGAAAAAATGGGCATGAAGCACAGATCAGCACAGTATAATAATAAAATACTGTCTAAATATATAAAAAATATACTCCCAAACCATCATCATCACATTTAAAATCTGATCACAGAAGCACTGATCTATTAAGGGAAATTCTAAACTTTGTTTTTCTGGCTTTAGCCGAATCAGGAGTAACGTGGATGGAAAGTTCCTACTGAATGGAGTCCCATTCAGCTGCTGCAACATCAACTCCCCCCGGCCCTGCATCCAGCAGCAGATCACCAACAACTCTGCACACTTCAACTACGAGCACCAGACGGAGGAGCTAAACCTTTGGATGAAAGGGTGTCGACAGGCGCTGCTGGAGTACTACATACACATTATGCAGTCCATCGGCCTCACAGTCCTCATCACCTGGTTATTTGAGGTGAGGAAACACAAGTTGGAGTTGGTGGGTTTAAAGGGAAACTACACAAAATCTGATTAACTTTTTCAGCCACTTTAACATCTTTGCATCATGCTTTGTGTTTATTTCTATGAGCGAGCCGGTCAGTAAGGGTCTCTTGTCGTTTCAGCTATCAGTGTTGACCGGGGTTCGTTACCTCCAGACTTCTCTGGAAAATGTCCTGAGACAGGGAGACCCCAACTCCGAATCAGATGGCTGGCTGCTGGAAAACAGCTTCATGGAAACTGCCCGCATGAACCTGAATATCATCAAGAGCCTTGGCAAGGGTAACCAGATAGACACAGCCACTAATGGAGACCCCAACATTAACGTCCCCTCCACCTCAAAAGCACACTATGGTCCTGACAATGTTCCACCGAAGCAAATAACTGAAGACAGTTGAACTTTTTCACTCAAAAGACTTCAATGGACGACATTCCTGAAGCCCACAAAGGGCCTTGAAACGTATACACATTACATTGGTGAATTCTTATCGCTGTACCTGTGGCGAAGGAATGGGCATTTTGTTTGTGGAAAATATATATGAACCCTAAATGATAGAATTTTAATATCAACACCATAATTTAAGTCACCATTAATGTAAATGCATTTGATAACTGCAAGGAATAAGTGACAAAATGCTACCAGAACACCTTAAATGTACCTTTGCATCATTTTGTGTTTCGATGATCATGTGATGGTCATATAAAAAAATTGATAGAGGCCTGGTGACATAATTTCCACCCAAATCAATCCATTCACTGAGCCCTCATATAATGTGGACTGAGCCAAAACCATCCTCATAACTTTTCTGAAGGGTTCACAGGACCCACACCATGCTAACCAAATGTTCTCCTCAGTATAACAAAGCCACCACATTTTGTCACTTTAAATTCCTTTAATTTGTCACCAGTCTGCATACATTTCTATTATTTTTCTGTAAGATTACTTGTGCTTTAATCTACTGTTTACAAATGACATCTGTTGCCTGTGTAACATGTGGTTTTTGCAAAAAAGACTCTGTACACCCGTCAGTTGCAACACTGGAATCAAAATGTACTTATATTTATTATTTGATGAAGACAACTATGGGTTAGAAGTTCAAGCACCTGTTCTTGTTCCCCATGATTTCATCTGAGCATGCCAGAAAACCCACTCAGAAGTTTGATTTACAGCAAGAAAAGCGAAAGCTCACAAATTACATTTCACAATTAAAGATCTGTAGTGATTAGTTTGTGTTTAGACTAGTAGTACCAATATTGGATCTTTTGTGTGCCCTTTTCCCTGAGTTGCCTAACTGCATTAGCAAAGTTGTTACAAGGATAGCGAATATTAAACAGTACTTTGTTTTCACATAAGTAGCTCAGCAGACAGAAATCCATGAGAAATTCTTAACTACTTTTTTTTTTTTTAGAATATTTAAGCCACTGCTACGATTCTCTCGTGCCTCAGCAATGTCACCAGGTTTTAATGCTCAAATATAAACTTTGCTGGGATGAGCTACAAAAAGTTTGACAATAAACTGTCCGCTTGAGGACTTTGAATTCTGAAAAGAAGCCTTGCTGATGTGATGTGCTCTTCCTTCCTTTCTCCAACAACAAAACTGGGAAGTCGCTTATTATAGCAAGAATACGTTTTTGTTGTCCTTTTCTTAAAAGAATGAACAATTCGAGTGCAACTTCAGAATAACCGTTTAAAGCAGTTAACTTTAATCGAGAGCACATTCCTTTTTACAATGATTTATTCTAATCTTGGACACTACTGTTGTTGGGTCTGTTGTTGTTTTTAAACCCCATTCAGAGCTATGGAACAGACTACCTACAGATTGTCTTGTGTCTTTATTTCCACAGCCTGGAAATCATGAAGTCAAACAACACAACAACAAAAAAGGAAGAAATTATATATTCACACATTTGCTAAGTGAAATGACAGAAATATAATGGAGTACCTGAAACCATACACTGGGATTTAAAAAAAGATTTTTTTCCTCTTAAATAAAACACTGCAATTGATCATTGACAACTAAAACTCAGATAATGTAGAGTCAACATCAAATGATAAAGGTTGACAATGTGTCGCACAACAGGTCATCCAATTATTTTTGATTACAAGCTTAATAAAGCTTAATAAAACTTTTTTTCTAAAAGCGATCTTGCAATATCATATTGTATTTGAATTCCCTCTATATAATTAATTTCACAATTCTGAAGGTAAGTAAGCACAGATGTGAGAGTTATGTAACTATAAGAATGGCTGAAATTCAGAAAACTGGTGCATCTGAGGACAGGATATGAGGAAGTCACTGAGACAGATTCCCGTATACTTTTCTGAGAATACTCAATCTGTTTGAAGCAATCTTGAAAATGATGTTTATTCTATATACGTTTTGCCCATTATACATGTGTCTATTTATAAGTAAAGGTGTCAGTAGGTTAAGGTTTAATTATTTGAGGAATTCTACATAATAAAGGGTCAAAGGCAAAAATGGATAGGATCTCCGAAAAAGGCTAAAGTTTTCCACATGAATGTACTTGGAAACCGCATCTTTGAACAATTATAACTTATCACAAATCATAAGTTCTAACACAAAGAGAGAGAACGCAGAAAATTCACAGCATCATTAAGAAAAAAAACACATGAAGTGATAACAGAAACGTGTTGGTGTGTGTCTGATGCTCTTCTTTATTTGAATGAGCTTCTTTGCAAATAACATTACTCTGGGAGAAACTCATCCTTACAGCAGACAATCAAACTGAAACAAGGCGACTTGGGATTAATCAACAACAATCACCCTCTATCCATTTTGACTGCCCCCCCCCACTCTCTCTGGATTCCAAAGGAGACTCATTTATGATGAAACAGGCTTTTCTGATTACAGAAGGGTTTGGGTTGATTGCTTGTGTGTGTCGTGTGCGTGCATGTGTCTTGGGAGCACAGGGGCCGTGCTCGGTATCGGCCAGTCACACAGCTGGAGCAGTCATCACAACATCTGCCACTCAAAAGCAAACATAACGTTGACCACCTCCAGGCTGCGGGCGATTTCTTCCAGGATGCAGTGCTGCTGCCACAGCTGGTTTAGCTTCCTGTAACGCTCTGGGCAAAGGTGCAACGGATTACCCCGTCTAAAACACAGAGAAACAAATGCATTCAAGGGTTTCTCAAACCCAGTATTTCACTGGTATGACAAAAAAATGTAGTCATACTTCGTAGCTGTGTAAACCACTTCTTTATGTCATAAAAAAAAAACTTAATGCTTATGCAAATCTGAAAGTGCATGAAGGTAGTGTTATAGGTTAAAGCTGCCCAAGTGTTGGGCTTGAACTGCAAGTTGCTCATCGGGGTCTACTGTGAGAATGTGCTATCACTGTGCGATCAGCACATAATTATGAATTTGAGATCTGCAACAAAGCTCAAATAAATGCATTTTTGTAGTCTACAATGGCAACAGTTTTAGCTTCAACATTCAAGTCTACAAGTGACACCAAAGTTTCAATTATATTAGCCACAGTATTGCTGTACATTGCCCCTACGAGCAACATCATCCATCTACCTTTTCATAGATGGCACAAGCTGTAAAAATTGTCTGACAAAGCCAAACAGCTGAGCTTGAGTACATCCTCCAGTCTGTATTATATAGTAGAGTTTTTTAAGTCTAAAAATACAGAAGTAATACTACAAATAAACTGAATAGGTTCTTACCCAAGATGGGGATCAGTCTCCCCATAATCATCCAAGTATGGAGCGGGATACGTGCTCCCTCGAGTCCGACTGGCCATCAGCACAATTTCACACTCTCTTATCCTGTTATCATTAAACAAAATGTGATTCAGTTAGAAAAAAAAAAAGTAAACCCAAAAGACAAACTAATTCTGGGCCTGAAATACAATTCTACTAATGTAAAATGTGCCGTGTGACTGATTAACCTGAGGAACATCCCCACTCCTGCTCCACAGGTCGCAGCGTGGGCAGTGCAAGCCCCCACGTCCTCCCCTTCCAGCTGACTGAGACAACAGGAGCTCTGAGAGCACAGCATAGCCCCACAAAAGAGACATAAAGTCGGATGCTTCCTCTCATCATCGGTGGATTTTGGACACCTGAGGACATGATGCAGACGAGTGAGAAAGGATGGACAGAAGAGAACTAGAAGATGTCAAATGAGAGGACTCCTTACTTACTTGAAATGGCTGGCTTGATTGAGGAGAGTACTGTAATCTTCAGGAAGTTCAATCAATCGATTCCTTTTCCTGGGGTATCTGTTGAAAGAGTGAGTTTATTGGCCAACTGTAGGGTTTCAATAAAACTAAAATCTATGTTGAAATAATAAAAGACCCAAAGTCTACCTGACTGTCTGGATTTTGCCTTTCAGGGCTTTGGTTACAACTGGGCTCCCACACCACCTAAGAAATAACAAGAAATAATAAGTTACAAAACTACTGACTTCACTGGGAACTAGTGTAAGATGCAATAGTGTTTTCTCCGACCTCTGAAGCAGTGGACTAACAGTTTCTCTGTGATCGTGGAAAAGCTGAAACACATTGGAGGGTAGTGCCAGGTAACTGCATAGTGCCTCCATCTGTTCTTGAGAATCAACTGCACAAGACATAAAATGTCAGCATGAATGCACAAATCTTCCTCTTCTGAATTTCAAAATGCAATAAAATTCTGACACTACTACACTGAAACCTACCAGAAATGCTAAAAAGCTCCTCTGGAGGAGGTACTCCTGTAAGGCAATTGAAAAAGAGAGCAGCACAACGCAAGAATGGTGCAATTCCTGCCTTCACTCTTTCTACTAAAGAGCTGCCAGAAACATCTGGAAGGAGCCTGATGAGAAAACCACAAAATAAGCTGTCAAATATCTGAGAATTCACCATGAAAAAGGCTGAAACTAAGTATTTGTTCCCATTATAAACAGGTAATAGCCATTCTTGTCAAATTATGAGTTAAAAATATTTATCCAACTCTGACGGTCTTACTGTCCAATACATCAAAACCTCCTGACACCTGCCACAAATGCATTTTTGTGACTAATAGCAGACATTTAAATTATAAATTAGCATTAAGAAAGGAGATCCGTTTTTGCTTAAGTTTAGTGGCTGTCAAAGTTTTTTCTTTTTTTGATGTCCATAAAAAATATGTATGGAAAAATACAATCATGCTAATGTGCTTTAAGCAGGTGTTTGAAAAACACTCACCTTCCCGTGTGTTGTGACACTGCAGAGTACAACTCTGCTGCTGCTCTCTCCTCCTTCGTCTCCTGTCCATCCCCTGCTGCAGGGACGTCTGCACAAACAAACCAATTATTTAATCATCATAATCACTCCAATTATCTCTTACTACTGGCTAGCTCCCTAAATGGTAGCTAACAGTGGTGTTATTAGATCACATTATTTTGGGGGCGGGGGGTCTGTGATTTTGTACCTGCAGAAGACAAGAGGATCTGCAGCACATGAGCCATGGTCACCAGATGCAAGATATGCAGGTGATTGTATGCAGCGCTGACAGCAGATGGCTGTAAGTCTACAGTCTCCTCTTGATAAAGTGAGGGTATCGATAGCACCAATCCAACCTGACAAAACATCCAAGCGTTATAAAACCATCACACACACTTGTTTCTTAAAGACATAATCTCTTCAATTTTAGTAAAAATTCAGAGGGTTGTCTATAGTTTCTCAATCAACAGAAAATAAAATCTCCACCATCATGTTTCCTCTTTACAGTCTTACATCTTCTGGAGTTCATGTTCATTTTCAATTGGAATCTGTTTTTATTGCACTTAACATAATACATTTATTGTATTAATCTAATGTATTAGCATGAAGCATTTGCTCAGACTAATATGTAAGAGCAGTTTCTTTCAGAGACACCTACCAGAAGATGGAACAAGTCCACCTCTAGAAGAGAAGGTGTGTTCTTTCTGCTCATGACTGGTAACAAGACTGAGAAGAGAGAAAGGACAGTTAAACTACACAGTCACAAGTCTAACCAGCCTGAAGTTTCTCTGATGACCACATACCTCCCAACATATCAGTGAAGTGCCTTTGGATGACTGCCTGAGAGCTCTTAGGTCCCTGCGTTGCTGAAAACTGAACAATGGCCTTCATGCCTGCAAGCTAAAAGAGAAGCATTTCACACAACTTTCACAGAAACCCCCTACACTAAAAGAACTACATCAATTGTTCACTACTGAGTACCTGTCTGTTCTGTAAGGACCCAAATAGCGGCTTGCCCTCCTGCTCCAGTATGTTTTCTGTGAAGATTTGCAATTTTAAGACCTGCGCACATGAATACATGCAAAGGAAAGGAGTGACAAAAGCCAACAGATGCAGTACCTATGGCCTGAATAGTGAAGGCACATGTGTTCCAGGCCATAATGGAAACACGGGGGCACAGCTCATTGGGCGCAGTCTTCAGTCCAACCCTGTGGACTGTGGTGGCGCACACAACCAGCATCTCTGTAATGCTGTCTGAAAACTTTCTCCTAGAAACAACAAACAGCACAAAATTTAGAAAAGAAAATAACAAGCGCACCATTTTAAACTTTACTTTATGTGCAAAGTGCACGTTTCTGTTACTTATACTGTTCAAACCCATTTGACATATACTTGACATAATTTGTATGGATCACCTTGGAGGACAGGTCAAAGGTCATATGTTATATTGGTGAATAGAAGCCAAATTTTAATGGATTTTTAACAGCTTTATAAGAATTGATTCAAACATTTTGAGCTAAGTGTTTACAGACAGAAAGAGTGACGCACTTGCATGCACACAAAAGCTACCAAAAGCAAAACCTCCTTGGCAGAGGTAATAAAGGCAGAGAGAGGTGCACTCACGATTCTTGCACTCCATAGCTCAGAATAGATCTAAAGTCTGGTTGGCCCTCGCCACACAGCCCAGTGCTACCATTACTACTACTGCCTTCTGTGTTACGGTCTGCAAGAAAAAAAGCAGGAGAGAACAATCATCGGTTGCACTGTGTGGTGTGTTATTAGAGGTTCACGAATAACAAGAAAAACGTATGCAAGCCGAGACTACTCCGTAGTGGCTTCTAGTAAAATCCAGACTGTGTGCAAATTAAAACACCTTCTGCAGCTGTTTTCCTGCAAGCATTCGACTCCTCACCAAATAAAGCCAATTTTTCCTATTACTCTGGTTCACATCGACACACTAAGAGCATATCAACATCTTACTCACATGTGAATATGGCAGGTGTTACACATCGAAATGTGGACTTTTGTTCATTGGTGGATCAGTTTTACATGTGTGACACTACAAACCAGTATAGTGTGCGATAACTGTATTCTGGGTTCTATTCTTACCATTATCCTGAGCGATTGACTGGAGTCCTTTAATCCTAGCAGAGAGGATCTGGATCCAACGAGGCAGCGTCAAATGCTCTCCAATTATCGCTGCGTTTTCACTACACACAGAAAACAAACATGCAAATGACTTCTTTACATTTGCACAGATAATCAAAGCACTGCAGACTGGCTGGGAGTAAGAGGATGGGCTTACTAGTCAAATGTGAGGGGTTCTAATGGGATCAGAGGTACCACAGTATTGCACAGAGACTTGCACAAGGGGCACAAGTACTCTCCATTCTCCAGATCAATGATCAATTCAGCATGGAGCCGGTTCCTGGTTGTATTTTGGACTGCCTCATAGTATCTGTTAAAAAAGAGGAAATGACACCTGTACGTGAGTTACACCGAACTTTAGTTAAGAGGCAAAATTAGTCAAATTTGTTCCCTAGTGACTTACTTTTGCCAACACGTGGCATGCATGACATGTCCACAGCTGCCAGTGTGGGTCCCCACAGCCAGATCCGGAGACATAAAGAGGGGATATGATGTTCCCGGCCCTTTAAGTGATAACCACAAGACAACGTATAAGTTAAATCTGAATCTCACAAAGTAAAATAGTATGATCAGTGAATGGAGCCTGACCATCTGCTCTGCTGCTTGGTATCTTTCCTCTGCACTGTGTCAGCACTGTGGACCTCTGGACACAAGCAGTGAGTCCCATGGCTGGAGCCTGAGCCATCACCTCCTGCTCCTCCTGGCAAAGAATGCAGGTCAGTACCTCCCTGTCGGCCGGAGTGGACCCTCGGTGAGGCCCAACAGCTACGCATAGCTCCCTCTGCTCCGTAGCACAGCTGGAGAAATAAAACAAACTACATTAGGTGAAAATTATTTCGTTTAAACCCTCACTTTTAAGTCATTGAAATACAACTACGAGGTGTTATGGTGTACTCACTCCCCAGTGGACGCTACAGTTTCTCCCTGTGTTCCACTTTCAGGCATGTTGTCATACAGCATCTTATTTGACTCAATAAAGTTCTTTTGCATTGCTGACATCTGGGCCATTATCTTCTGTCGGTGGAGCTTAGCCGCCTCTGCCTTCCTTTTCCGCTCTGCTTTTTCTTTGTCCTGAGCACTCTGGATCAACAAAACCAGAAGTCAGAATGATTTAACTCAAAGATATATTTTAAGTCACTTAAGTTTTAGTTTACCTCTTCTGGCTTGGCTGTTTCCATGCTCATGGACACTGTTGGACTGGAGTTCTCTCTAAGGCACTTGACAACCTCAAACATCTAGAAGAAAAACAGTGTTATAAAATTATAAAACTGTCCTGTCCTGAAATATGATAACTACTGATTTAACATTATGTAACAATATCTTTAATGAATAGTAAGTGAATAGCCTACCTGTAGAACCCATTTAATCATGTCTTTTTGCGCTTCCAGAGAAGGCAAAGTCTTAATCTTGGACAACAAGAGGAACACTGACTTGCCATGTTCTGCACCCATTACTGAAAAAGAGGAACAGGGATTTTACTTCTCAAAAAGTAATTACATGATTTCAAAGAGACAACAAAGCTCATTTTTCCACTCACAACGAGCCTTTAGGCTGAAATCAAAGGTCACTTCCTCCGCAGTGACATCCTCAAGCTGTGATTTCTCTTCTAGCAATGCCTGGCCAATCAGGTGCAGTGCCTGTGTGATAAAGGAGTTAATTTTGTTGCTACATTTGTATTGAGAAATAGATCTCGGGAGGGAGAAATCAGAATGTAATTTGTACCCTCTGGATCATGGCTTCCGTCCAGTGTGTTGGACGGTCCTCTGCAGCTCTCTGCAGGACGTTTCTCAGGATGTGGACCATTATGTCACAGCAGAGGAGTTGCACTATATAAGAAAATTCTGAACAAAAGGCTGGGGGCACCGGCGGACGAAGAGCTGAGCACAGACACAAGCGGGGGCAATGTTATTAGAGCCGATGAAATTACCAACCAATCTCCAGAAGACGGAGACATTTGGTGACAGAGTGGAGGGTCAGTCACCTTTATCATTGCCCTCCTGAGCTCTCCTTTTCTTCTGAGACTCTTCTGCCTGAAAGAAGTGTAATATAATCAATTAACCAAATATAGTCAACAGAAACTGTCAATCTAATTGAAGGCGCTGGTCTACCTTGCTATGCTGGGATCTTGAGTAATGGTAGAAGAATGGGTTGAACTCTACTAGATGTTCTTTTTTCACTTCGTATAACCCATGTCCCGACACTCCTGGTTTTCTAAAAGCAAAAACCGAACACAGAGATTACGAACTCGTGAAATTTACTATTAAGGCAAAACTCAATCTGTTTTCTGGGGGTTTACATACTTAAAAGTGGCAACTTTGGTGATAACGGTCTCCAAGCCTGTTTCATGGCTTTCCTAGAAAGAAAAAAACATCACCTTTGTCATTTATCCTCCCAACTAAACACCACAAAATTAAACATATAATTCAGAAATGAAGCTTTTTGAAGCATACGTTCTCTGGCAGGGCTTTGACCAGGCTACTATGAGCCATGGGCTCAATGCACAGCAGGTGGATAACCTCCCTCATTGTCACATCCTCTTTGGTCAACTGACTGATCCCGGGGACATAGCGCTCACCTGAAGAGACAGCACTGTTCAGATACTTTTTTAGGTTTTTTTAACTGAATTAAGAAATATCTCAATTTGATCAGGAGACTTTTGACAGTTTACCAATGATGGCGATCAGCAGGTAGAGCATCTCTTCTGTTAAACGGTTCCACTGCGTCAACTCGTCCTGTAAAAGAAGCTGCGTTTCATTAACACGTTTGGTGGCACGACGTTTTTTTTACTGGATGATTATTCATGTGGAGCTTGCCTGGTCTTTGCTTGAACAACTTCTATTAAAATAATCAAAGAGCTCAAATCTCAACAAGACCAGAATGAGGAAGTGGTTGGGGTCCATTTTGGAAGCAGCTATCTGTAATAGACATGATGAGGGACGTATGACATCATCACGCCGTTTGCATTTAAAACATTAAAAACTGGCATTAAAGAAGTGTTAATGCCTGACTGACACCAACCTGAAGCATGACTATATCCTTATCGTACATCTCGTCCCTGCACTTTACATCCTGGTAGTAGTACACCTGTTTATGTGAAAGTATTTATTAGGTGGAGAAGAAAGACAACAGAAAATAAAAAAGCGCTGTGCGTCCAAAGGCTCTAGTGTACCTGGCTCACCAGCGAAAGCCCATTTCTCCGCCACATTTCAGCCGAGACCTGTGCAGCCAGCACAAAGCAGCGCAGAGGATGCTCTGCCAGCTCTGTGAAATCATAGGTTGCCTGTAATGACAGAAAGACTTCGATCTCTAACAAACAACGCATGAGGAGCAGCAGTACCTCACCTATCAGCTGTCACTAAGACTACAAATCATCACATTTTCTCATGTCACTTACAGGATTTTCCAGGCGCTCAATTGCGCCAGTTCCACACAGGAGTACATACAAGCCTATGAATCACAATGTACACATGAGTAAGTCCACAGCATACAAAAAAAAAATCACTGCAAGTCTTATATACTACTTCTCCTACCAGCCAATAGTCTGGAGATGGGCAGATGTATGCTGACAGGCTCCCGTGAGACTTTATATGGACGGGCATGGAGGATGTGTTTGCACATATAGTAATCAGTGGCGTCCCTGTGGAAGGGCTGGTTATTGCACTGCTTCAGAACTGTGTGGCACTCCTTAAATGCAAGCAGCAAAATCTCATCCTAAGAGGGAAGACAGAGGCAATAAGTGAGTACAACGTTCGCTCTCCTCCTCATAAGCAGATTAAAAATTTAAAGATATCACAGTTATGCTTCAAGAAAACTCACATCAGAGGAACACCAGTCCTGAAACATAGCAAGAATATGGCGGAGCTGGATCTGCAAAGTAAAGCCAGCTTCCCATTCTGGCTCCACAGCAATGTGTTGGCCAAGCTGTCGCTTCACCTCCTCCATACCCTGGTGTAGAAAGCGAAGGATTCATTAAATATCCAGAGTGTCTAGTTGTCTTAAAGTAATGTAACACTACCAATATTACATGATACATATTTAAAGACAGACATTGCATATATTTACAAAATGACACAGTGTGAGGACCATTTGTACCTGCATGCATTTAAGAAGACCAAGAAAGACTCTGAACCCCTTCAAGAACTGCCCCCGAAGCTCTTCGGTCCATATTGAGGGTTTACTGATCAGAATATACCTGTGTGGCAAAGATTAGTGACATCTTACATAAAAGGCCATAAACAGCAAGGTATAAAGAACAAGGTGTTGCCTTCTTTAATCACCTGAGGTCGTGGAAGATGACTTGGATGCGTGAAAACTTGTCTGAGTTGTAGCCCAGGAAGACGAAGCGATTGTTATCATCTAGATGTTCGCGAAGCAGTTCCATGACGGTATCAACTATCACCTTAATCACATTGCACTCTTCGATCAGCTGTCTGGCCTATTGGAAGAACACAAATGTAAAAGAAAGCATGGAATATAGGTTAAGGGTTACAACACATACTGTTCAATATTTTAATTACACATACATACATGGCATCCAACACTTAAACCACTATGACAAGATACAGAAATGGAAAAGTGCATGTAAGGGCACATATCAAACTGATTTGTCCAACTTCACCAAACTTAAATGGCCTCCTCAGTCTCCAGACCTCAATCTTTGGGATGTGTTGGAACAGGAGATTCATATCTGATTTAATGGCTAGAGTAGGGACTACTGTGGTTACATCTGATAAGTCGACCACAATTTGGATTTAGAGCCAGACCTAAATCCAATTTGTGTGTCTCTAACCCATCTCCCTCTTCTTTCTCTCTTCCTCCCCTCACACTGAACCATCACGAATCGTCTGACTGTTGGGGTTTCTCTGTAACATTGTTGGGTCTGAACAGTACAATATAAAGGTGCTTGAGATGACTGTTGTTTGATTTGGCGCTATATAAATGAAACTGAATGAAAACAGATACTTTAGAACAACCTGCAGAGAGCCATTTTCAGCATATATCACACACATATGGATGTTTGCCAGTGTTAATCCTTGAAATCATTCCTGCTAAACAAAGGTTACTAAAGGTTCACTTTTTTTCCCCACCGGAAACGTGAATATTTAATTGGTGTGTTTAAAAAGGATGTGTACTATATTTACATGCAGTATCATATGACTTCTGGCATTGAAACAACACTCACTAGTGTGGGAACAGTGAAGATCTGAACAGACAGAGCTGTGATGGATATATTCCTCTCATGGTCATCATTGATGAAGTCCTTCTGCAGCTGCTTATAGTGCTGAAGAGACAATGATGAGGAACATATTAGTGGAATGGGGAAAAAATGCAAAACAGTTTACATTTTAAAATGTTTTACTTACCTTTGTAAACTCAATCGCAAAAAGCCTCTTGCATTCGGTATCCATTAGCATGCTGCAGAAAATCAGCTCGTGCACTATCTTGCGAGCTCCTGGAGGAAATAAGAAAAAAATGTGTTCAACAGAATCATAGTGAGGCTCAGGCTCAAGCTCTACACTACTGTCTGCAAATTAAACCATAAATAGCATCATCTGTAAGTGACTGGTAAGTGTGTGAGGCTGCAGGAGCTTGAATGGAATATATGACAGCACAACAAATACAGTGGCATAACACTTAAAAGGCATTGTTGATGAATAACCTGTTTAATATTTTTTCTTTTTTTAATAAGAACATCTCCTAAAGTCCATTAATTAGTGTGAGCTTTATAGACTGGGCTGAGGCCTGCTTACCTTTGAACATCCTGGCATCATGCAACATGAGTCTGCTAATGAGGCAAGGTCGATCTCTGTCCACGTCTGGCTGTAGCGCCACCTGACAGAAGGCTTGCCTGAAACCCACTGCACAAAACAGATTACCAGTCATACAGCTGTACATGTACAACAGGCAGTTTTCATGTGTCAGCACAGGGTAAACACAGCTGTTTCTGATAACATGAATCATGGCCCTGTTCCCGTTAAACTGGCCAGGCCACGTGTGTTTTTCATGTGTACCCACTGCACTGGCTGTGACACAGTAAACAGACTGTAATTAATTTATCTGTGACACTTGTGTGTTACCCTGCTAAGACAAGCCAAAATGGCCATGTTGAAAAAGACCTATTTAGACATCTGCGAACAATCTTTGCAGATCTAGGACATAATGTACGTGAGTGGTCTCCACTGTTGCCCACATTTATGCTTGTCCTGGTACACTGCATGTTAATTACTGTGTAGTCATGTCCCGGTGTTTTATGTACAGAGCCAGCAAATAGAAATAAATAAATAAAAATAAAATGCTGGGATGTTTTTCCTCCTGGGTCCCCGCTCTTTGTTGTGGTCAGTGTTCTAGTTTTTCCACTTCTTTGTACATTCCCTAACTCTGATCGTCCATTCTGATCATTTCAGCATTCTAATTCCAGGAAGGTGGTTACATTTGTGAAACCTTATATATGATGCTATGACTATTTACCCTTAAACTGAGGCGATGATTGCTATTCTCTCACTGATGAATTCAAAAAACGCAGCACAAAAGTAGCTGGAAATGCACCGGAGGAATCGACTGTGCTGAACAGGACAATCGTAAGAGTTGCAGGTTCTTGAGAGGTGTATGTTAAGTTACATTGTACGTTACAGCGTAGATTTCCCACCGAGGCATAAATCAGGTGTCGGGTGTACATATTCTGACTAAAAAGACACATTTAAAAAGTTCACAACTGCCAGGTAAAGCTAACAAGTTTGTGTGATGTAGATTACCTGAGTAACTTATTATTTTCTGGAACCAGGAGCCGAGGTGCAGAGCAAAAGTTTGATGAGCCATTACTACTGAGTGAAGGATCTCCACACGCAGTGGCTGCTGGGAAATTTGCACTGAGTTTGCCTGCAAAACAACAGCATTTATGAAATGCAAAACTGAAAAGCGATAACATATTCCCAAGCTTAGCAGTGGGATCGTGTTTACCCTGATACGTTCTTGCGCTTGCTGGCAGGAGGTAAAGCTTCCTCTCTTTACTGCCCGCCGACCCTGCGTCCAACAGTTGACAATAATTATATCAAGTGCCTCCATTTAAATTCACAGTCATTTAAATTAAACCTTTCAGGTAAACAACCTAAAGAAATACCTCTTTATCAATGAGCGTTGTGTGTGTCTGTGCTTCAGCTAGATCACAGTTAACCGACCGCTGCAGGGTGTAGATCACATGGTCGTACGAGTGATGCTCATCGTTGTAGAGAACACAGTAATATGTATTGTCTTTAATCCTGTATGGATGAAGAAATACTCTGTCAAACTTAAGAAGAGTCTTTGAAGTTCAGATTATATTTTGGAAACTTGACAGGTTGTACCGAGGCTGAAGTTCAGCTGGCAGCTCAAAGTTCTCCTCCCACACCAAAAAATCTGTGACATAGTGCAGCAATATCCGGAACAGCTTCTCGGCACGTCCGTATAACTCCAGGTCCAGCACGCAATCATCCTACCCAAAATGAAAAAGCATAACGGAGGATTCAAAAATTCACATCTTAATTTAAACAATTAAAAAAACTTGGCACATTGCAGAGATGTGTAACTATAGTAAAAATGCATCATTTTACAGGTCAACACTGACAGTGGCAGAGAACAAAAACAAACAATAACTTCACACAAACAAAAGTGAACATGACATGGAATAACCATTATTAATTCCTCATTTCCTGTGTCTTACTGGGTATGGTCTAAATATTTGTCTTAATTAAAGCCAAGCAAGCAGCTGGTCTGGTAACATTAATATCAAATCCCCTGAGGACAAACATTTCACATAGCAGCACAGCATTTCCTCCAAATGTCCAATGTCGACTACGCTAACCAAACGAACGATACAGTGAGTTTATCTTGACGTTACATCACTGTGTGAGAGCAAACACTAGAATCTACTGTAATCTAACCAACAAGAGATCTGGATGGAAAAGAACACAAGGTTTTCATGTCCAAAGCAGATGTGCTGCTATGGTAATGTGATTTGTTGAGCACAGGTTCAGATCTGATGTAAAGAGCACAAAGCACCCAGCCAGATCGAGGCCAGGGATGTGCGTTTCTGCGAGGAGAAGCACCTGCTGTTTACGGAAGAAAGAAAAAGCGCAGTGCTGTCAAACAGTATGTCTACTCAAAGCCCCTGAGCATGACGGTAAGCACAAACGCTGTGATCAGCAAAGAAAGGCCTGACAAACAACAGCTGCCAGCAAAATCAGCAGCCTTTTGTAGGAGACGCTGTGAACTGAATAAATCTCCAAACAGTTGTGCAGAATTAAAGGCTGCTCTTAACTAGACTCACCCACTGCTGTTTTCCACTAGTTTCAATTTAACATCTCTTAAATTATTATTTTAGATGATTTTCTTGGTAACTTTTTTTTCTTTTTAATTCACACAGTCAAACCTACCACCAAGAGAGCAGCAACCAGCACTAAGATGGGAAAATAAGCATTCTGGGGTCACTGACACAGAATGGGACAAGTACACCCACCCCTCCTCCACTTCCTTCTTTCTGCTGTATTACGCAACTCACCGTTACCATGGCATTGGCTGCCCCTGGGTCATGTTTGGAGCAATAAGGGCCAATCTTCCAGGCTTCCACATCTCCACAATCACAGAACCCCCCGCCTGATGATGCATGCATCTGGAAAAAAAAGCATATCAGTGATGAGTGCATGTGATTAACAGACACACGCAATTGCAATTTCTTTAAACATGTCCTTTAGTTATGCAACACTGAGGTTCCAACATATATGACAAAGATCAAAGACGATATCCTATAATTTAGAAAGGGTATAGATAGAAATAGGATTGCACACTGTGCACACTGTGCAGAGAAGTGAATCACTTAAGAGTGGTGACTGACAATGACAAAGCATGGAAACAGTAGTAAGAAAAGGGGGAGGGAGTCCTGTTACAGATTAGAACTCCAGGGATGAGTGACTTCCATTCATTCAAAGGTTGGTACAGACACCGTCCACTAAAAACTGCTGGAATCCATTAAAAATATAAACATTTATACTAAGACCAACCTTGTAGCGATGGCTTTTGTGAACACTATCCTGGAAGCAGTCCATGCACAGGACACAAGTGGGATCTATCGCACAATCCCTGCAAGAAGTGGAAGACATGTATTTTTTTACTTGGCAGAAAGACAAAAGTCTAACACTAAAGAGTGCTATACTCTAGGTCAGGTGTGTCAAACATAAGGCACAGGGACCAAAATCGGCCAGGCAAACAAACCAATCCGGCCCACTGGACAACTTCGTTTTATATCTTTTACTAATGATAATGATAATCTGGGGATTAAATGTGTAATTAAACTTCTTTATACCAATAAAAAGGGGGTCTTTATTTGGTCCGGTCCATTTCAGATCAAAGAAAGTTCTATGTGACCCAAAATGTAAAATGAGTTTGATATAAACTAAGCTGCTTGCCAAGTGTTCTCGCTTTTAGTCATTTAGTGCCTATTTTAATTCAGACCCCATAAAATTGAATATTTTACCACAGCTTTCCTGTAGAAACTTAGTAATTACAGGGATTTAGAAGAGCTGTTCAGACCTGCAGGAGTAGACCGTTTCGCCCTCTTTAAACACACGTCCACAGAGGTGGGACGAGGTACTCCCCTCCTTGAGCTTTTCCAAACCCTCTTGAGGATCCTCTCCAAAAAGGAAACACTCCAGAGGGTGCAGGAGACGGCTCTGCATGAGCTCCTCCTCTTCCTGAGGGCTGGAGTCTTTTAGGCAGAAGATCTGAGGCACCTGCTCCTTCAAGTAGGAGAGCAGTGCTGCTCTGCTGTCTGCTGCCTCCTGCCATTCCTGTGAGACAAAAGAGAAGAGCTTTACATCCTTGCTTTCTACCTTCTAACACAAATCTGCATGAACTCGCCATAGTAACGATGTGCAGATAAATGTTTCCTTTTAGTAATGCATTATGCCCAAAAAAAAAATCTTTCTTCTGAGGATCCTGACTTCTTCATGAAGGCAGAAGTGCACACCATGTTAAGTGCCGATTAAAAAAAAAAAAAAGGTTAGATCTAGATTAATCCATATTTAGTAATTGATGACTAATTTTTTCAGTCCTCGATTTGTAATGCAACTGTAGACTCTACATTAGCCTACAAATCTAAATAAACAGCATGGTATAAATAACCTTGTGCTGTGTGATTAATCTGTTCTTCTGCTTGGCCTTCAGCCCAATCATAAAGTAGACCGTATGCAAACAGGAGAGTGCCACGAGGAGCCGTTCGAGTTGCACATGAGATAAAACGGTTTGTTTAATTCACATGAAGGGTAGAATTATATTTCCCTTTGTCGACAGCAGTTGCATTATCATTACTCTGAAGACAAACTGAAGTGGACTAAACATAACTGTTCCTGAGAGGAATTATTTACAGTGGTTTAACTAATCATTCCAGACTTCAGAAGGATGGAATAGACTGGAAATGTGCAAATTTCCATATCAGACAGATGACTTCATTTAAAATGAATGGACTAAAGCGAGATGTCAATTGGTCAGCTTTCTTAAACTTTTTTATATATGTGGAAAAATAGTCTCAAAGTTTTCTTCTTTTTACAGTTGACAGTGAAAGCAAAAGCTCAAGTTTTCTTTTTAAAAGTAATTCAGCAGTCAGGGAGTGCAACCATTTAGGCATTTAAAATAAGCTTTATATTGAAATTATATTGAAATTGACATTAAACATACTGCTTCTACTTTTATTTGCATTGCTTTCCTGCTGTGTGCTTCCAGTGATGTGATTGTTTGCCTACTACTTTTCAACTACACAAGAACAAACATTCATAGGGGACAGATTGATTTTTTTCAACATACATACAAAGACTCAAGCTAAAAACTGAAAAAATAAATAAAAACACTGATATTAATAAAACACATATAATTCTGTACACAGTTATATTGCTCTTTTCATGGTTACTGACTCACTACACCTTCCTACACTTTATTATTCTAAATTTATTTTGACACAAGGAAAAAACTGATAAAGCATAGAATAATCTAAATTTATAGGCATAATCTTTCTCTGATTTTCTATAACCATATAACAATAACATTCATTCTTCTGGGCACTGTAATAGTTTCGTCAGAATATCATATAATGTATTGACAGAAAGGATTCTGCCAAAAAATATTTGCCAAAAAATGCCTTCTGGTATTTAAACTGCTGTAAAAGATTTGCTGGCCTTTAGTCTGTCAAACAAATCTCATGAATTATATGAAGTCATTCTGAGTCAGAAAGTATATTCCTGTCACAAGGAATAAAGTGCAACGAGTTTTTTACAATTAACTTTTATTTATCTTTTATTCATCCAGGTAAAATTATCATTTAAATTACAAATGTGTAAAAGAGATCTCTTTATACATATTTAGATATAGATAAATAGATATAGATAAGCCCTTCATAAATCCTGTTGACTACAGCCTATTTACCAACAGAAACAAGGATATGACATCGGTAATCTGGTGAGCTGTTCTTCAGTATGATTATTCAATGGTACTGGTGCGTGCAGTGCTTTTGCAGTACTACACTCTTAATGTAGTTACTCAGACTGCACAAGGCATCACATTGTTTTCATATTTGTTGGAGTTGATATAATAAGACTGGATAGACAACATTTCTGAAACAAATGCATCGCTGCTGCTGAGCCCAGTTTCTCTTTCACACTGACCGACATGGCCGATGTTAATGATAGACGTAATGCAGCAAGAGCCCGAGGTTTGAAGACAGCCAGGGCGTTGATGCTGCAAAGTGTGTAAACTCATGGCAACTCATGGACAAAAGCGACTACCAAGATATCACAGGATGCAGCAGACGGAGGAAGACACATGCCGTGTTTTCTCTGTCGTTGGTGTCTACTCAGCCAAGTCTATCGAACCACTGACGCAGGGCAATAAAAATATTGCACTTAACCATTGCATTATTGACGGTAGTTAGGCAGCTAGCCTACAGCTAGCCGCAAGTGCTAGCTTGGGAAGTATGATAGCCTTTCACTGCGTGTTCGAATCGTATTGCTCAGAGGAATTAACACACTACACTTCACTGTTCTGTCCGAGCCCTTCGGTCACTACTGTCAGTTATATTAGCCAACTTAAAAAAAATCATACCTTGCTGAGCTCTAGTCCGTCTAGGTTTTCCTCACTCTCCGCCATATTCCATTTGCCGTAAAGGAGGAGGTGTCGCTAGGAGACTGTTCTTACGACCAGAACCTATCGCCGATGCTGGTGCTGTATGAGCCCAGCCACTAGACGGCGCCGGTCGAGATTGCTCCGTACACGGCGGGGCTGGAGGTCAGAGTTGAACGTTTGACAGAAAGCTGAACATGGATTCCATATTTCACGAGAAAGTAAGTTAAAAATATATATCTCAAAGTATTCATGGCCACACTGTTGGTCGTCTTTATTCGGGAATGTTCTGGACTCGTGACTGCACTTTGTTTACCAGGATTATGTAGCTGTTACGATATATGGGGTAATGTTTAGCAGTATTGTTGTCCAGACAGCTAAAATGCTAACTCACTTGCTAATATGAGATGTTGAAAAGTTTCCATTCAGCTTGTAGAATCAACGCAGAAGGCGTCTTTACTTCCGCAGTCGTGTTATTTTTCTCATTTTTAGCAAAAGCATTAACTTAATCTAGCAATCTTTTGTTACAGAGGACCAATAAGATCAGTTGTGTATGTTGTTTACGTAGTTTAGCTAGCTCTGTGTTGGTTCCAGTTACTGATGCGAGAACAAATTATGAAATCGATTATTTCACCTTCATAAAGCTACCAAAGTTGTTGCGGACCCCTTAAAATCATACTGCCGGGTGAGTAACAAAACCATTTAACAATACCGATTCTTAATTTGCAGCAAGAGGGCTCCCTTTGCGCCCAACACTGTCTTAACAACCTGCTACAAGGAGAGTATTTCACTCCTGTGGATCTATCCTCAATTGCTCATCAGCTCGATGAAGAGGAGAGAATGAGGATGGCAGAGGGAGGTATGGCCAGCGAGGAGTACAGGACCTTCTTACAGGTGATTAGAGACAGAGCGGAAAATAAATACCTCATCAGCATATCTATGGATGTTATGCACAGTTACGTCATTTTTCTTATTGTACTCAATCTATGTTTATAGCAACCATCAGGAAACATGGACGACAGTGGGTTCTTTTCCATACAAGTGAGTTTTAAAAATTCACTCTTTATAAGAACGTATTTCTTTTAATAAGTAAGTTACATTTTGTTTTGGTTTTTTTTTTGTTTTATGATTGTTTTTTGGGTTTTCGTAGGTAATTAGCAATGCTCTTCGAGTGTGGGGCTTGGAGCTAATCCTCTTCAACAGCCGCGAGTACCAGAGCCTGATGATAAATCCAATGTAAAGCTCTCAGTTAGGATTATATTATGTAACAGCAAATTTGTATGTACATTTTAAGTTGATTTTGACTTCAATGTTTCAGAAATGAAAAAGCCTTCATTTGCAACTACAAGGAGCACTGGTTCACTATACGCAAACTTGGACAACAGGTACGAAGTACATGTTTTCATGAATGATATTAATGCAGCTTCCTTTACTAAAGTTTTTCATTCTATTTTCATTCCAGTGGTTTAACTTGAATTCCCTTTTGACTGGACCAGAATTGATATCAGACACCTATCTAGCCCTTTTCCTTGCACAGTTACAACAAGAAGGTATTGAAAAAAAAAAACTTTCATTCACTTGTTTAGATGTTGCACTGCAGAAAAGATTACAGCAATTTATTTGTGCAGGGTATTCCATATTTGTGATCCGAGGAAACCTTCCCGAGTGCGAAGCAGAGCAGATTCTTGGAATCATGAGGGTCCAGCAGCAGCAGCGGCCCAGATTGATTGGAGAAGAGGAGGCCCAGACTAGTTCAGGGTATGTATGTGTAGCCTGTGTGGTATGGAGGACCCAGGAGATGCTCATAAAGGAGTCACATACATTTTGTTTTGTACTGCTTAAAAGAAACTTGTGACTTACCTTTGACAACTGATTTAGTTGTTCTCTAACAGTAGCAGGTCAGTTGCTCTGGGCCAATCAGAGATGGCCTTTGGTGTGGAGGATGAAGTTGTGGATGAAGATGAAGAACTGAAGAGAGCTTTAGCACTCAGTAGACAGGACATAGATGTGGAAGATGAAGAAGCTGATCTTCGCAGGGCCATACAGCTCAGTATGCAAGGTACAGTACAGGTCATCTAAAAGTTTAAAAAATGTTGTATTGTTGTAATTGTAGTTTACAAGAAAAGAGACTACAAAATAGCACTGTAAAGTAAAATTTTTATAGTGATAGTTAATTTTTATCTATAAAAAAAAATTCTGGTTAGCACTAACATTGCTTTAAGTAATATGCATGCATATGCAGTATGGATATCTATTTTTCCATATTACAGGAGCAGTTATGAGCAACAAGTCTTCAGAGTGTGGAGTGGGAAATGTAAAATCAGGGAGCCAGGCAGCAGGAAGTGCTGCAAGAGAACAGAGAGAAGGCCAGAATGAGACACTTACAGCTGAGGAACTGAGGAAGAGAAGACAAGCCTACTTCGATCGGTAAGTTTAACTAAAACACTCCTGCAATGACAACTGCATATCGCACCTTCTTTTCAAAGTATACCGAGAAAGTATTGCATGGATTTTGATATAAGTCCACTGTGTTTACTGTTCAGGCAGCAGCAACAAACTCAGACAAACATTCCTCAACCAAAAGATACTCAACCAACTGGAAGCTCAGGTCAGCAAATCTTTTTTTTGAATGTAAATATAATACATACTTTGTGATTTATTTAATATTCTACTCAATTTAATGGAATCTAGTAACACAAGCCCACTTGCTTTTACTAGGTTCAGTAAACGCTGGCTCTGAAGGGGACCAACAACCAAAACCCAGCCAGTGAAATTGTGGAAGGTTTGCCTGTATTGTTTACCAGCTGCCTGGATTGGCAACCCGGTACAGGGTTAGCTTGTCTCCCTCCTCTAACCTTTTGCACATGCGGACCTGAGGACAGTCAGAAGGCTGACAGTTTACCCCTGGTTAGTTCACTGACTATAAAGGCTATAAAGAAGAGGCAGCACTTAATCCAGCTCAGTGAAGTACTGAGATGGGGAAAAGATTGACGAGACTCATGATGCAGTTAATCCAAGTTTGCAATTGCCTTTTTAACCATGGCGCCTTCTCTTTCTATTGTATACACTTTTGTATTCTTTTTTTTGGCTTTTTTTTTTTTGGCTTTGGCTTTTGTGTTTGTTTGTTTGTTTGTTTGTGTGAAAGACGGGCTACCCCTGAATATCACAGAAAGGGCGTGTTTTGTTATTTTGTGATGATGACATGTTGACACAGGCATTCTATGAAAGCCATATGAGACCAATGCTTTGGACCATAGATAAAAGCTTTTAAAGCTCTTTTCACCTATGGGATATATAATATTGCTGGCTTCATCAGTATGTTAAAAACGATGCTGTTGTGTCATTCAGAGAAAGGTCACTTTTACATTAATGTTTCTCACTGCTTCATTCAGACATGACCACAACAGAGACACAGAGAAACGCAGTATGCGCGTGATATTTGGCATATTGTCAGCACTGACTCTAGTGAAGTGTCATCATATCCTTGAATATATGTTCTTCAGCTACAGAGCAGGATCTGTGTATGTGTGTGTGTCCTGCATAGTGCTTCAAGATGAGCTGCCCCCACCCTTGCAGACAGGCTTGAGAGAAATCACACTTCTAGATTGGGAGTATCAAAAAGGCATTATGGAAAAATGCTTAAACCTTATTGCAGACATACATCCTGTTGCTCTTTATGGTGTTCTTTAGTTAACTGAGCAAACTTGAAAGATTAAAGAGAGGCACACACGGCTATATTCTCGTGCGTGTGCCTTTCTATTAATGCGACTGCGTGCTGAAAGCTACACATAAATCATACTAAAGCTGACGTATTAAGTTTGCCATTGCATCTTATACAGAAATGTGACCAGGTTGCTCAATCAGGCATGGAGTCTGATTTAGATGTCATCAGATTCTTTGGAAAGAAGAGGTGTTCTAAAAAGGGGCTAATGACAGTGAGTCCTTTTATAGTAGACTTGAGTGTGTAGAACAATATATATATATATATATATATATATATATATATATATATATATATATATATATATATCACCAGAAAAAAAAGATCCTCCTTAAAACCTTTACTACCACTAACATCTGTGGGTTATTTATTCTTTACATCATCGACCTCGATACATGACAGTCTACAGGTGGTCTCCCCAGGAATTTAGAGAGCTGCATATTTTGGATGTCGTGGCGTTATTACTTATAAGTATGCATGTAGGCGTAATGAATAGGTGATTAGGCAAGGCTTACAGACACAATTTAAGGGTGTCTTGTCCTTTTTGATCAGATTGATGAAAAAAAATGTGTAGGACTTTTTGCTGAATCTAAATTGCTTATCACAGATGCATTGTTTTTTCTTATTTTTGTCCCGAATAAGTGGGGAACAAAGAAGCATTGTGTAAACATGAATAGTTCCAGCAGTGTATGATCACACAAGCCAAAATTCTGGCATTTCCAGCCTCGTTTTGTTTTGGGTTTTCTTTTTTTTCTTTTTTTTTGGGGGGGGTACACGTTAGAAAATCAAAGATTCATTGGTTTCATTTATTTGCTGATTATGACCTTGAAAATGGGGGGGGGAAGCAATTTCAATAAATGAAGAAAATGTCAAAAATGTGTCACATCACCTACCCTTTGAGGAAGTGGTTGATTTGACTTATTCTCACTTATTTTTCTCTACAGGACCGTAAAGTCCTGAAAGTGAGAATCTGTCCTTGTGACTACACCAAACTACAGCATTAAAACACTTTACATTCATTCAGAACATCGAACTGACCATTCAGCGCAAATGTGTCTTGATGCATTCACTAACATGTTAGATGTCATGCAAAGTTTGGCTTATTGTGCTGGATGATTTTTAAGACGATTCCAAGGTTTTGTTCCCGTTCTGTTTCCTTGGATCTACTATTTTTTTCTATTTAAAATGCACTTGTGAAAAATTAGAAAATGTTGGTAGTTGGGTTTTTTTTTTTATTCTTATTTTATTCACTGTGTTCTTAAATTCATTATTTTTGTTATACTTCATGTTAGAACAGCACATTCTTTCATTTAATATATTGGTTCTCATTCCAGGATTAAAGTGAAAATCACTCCCAATGCTTCTCGTGTCTCATTTACTTATCGATTGATTCTTATGGATTCACCTCTGAATACGTGTTTTGTGGTTAATGTGTAACATGTAGAGCACACTTGCACTTTGTTCCCCCAAAAAAATACAGAAATTTCAGGCACAATCTGGGCCAAGCTGAAAGGTACGTGTGTTATTTCGTTAAACTTAAAAACAAACTGAATTTTGGAGCGTTTTCTAAGTATAATGAAGAAATGAGTATTCAGTTGGTGTAATCTTATAACTTTTTTGTAGATTTAGTGATTGTGCTGCTGTACAGTGGTGCTTTTTTTTTTTATTTCTCGTTTCTGGGTGTGCACCCAAAACTTTCCAGGTTCTGATTTTGATGTTAAACACAATGAAGATGGCCTGTTTTCTCTTTGTGGCCCTCCTGTGCTTTCTGACTCCTATCCACCAAGCTGAACCTAACAGTGCCACCATCTCAGATCTCTCCTTCAAAAATATGGACTTTGCCATGAACCTTTACAGAAAGATATCCAGTTACAATGACAAGAACATCTTTTTTTCCCCCCTGAGTATCTCTACCAGTTTTGCGGCTCTTCTAATGGCTTCTGACGGTGTCACACACAAGGAGATCCTGAAGGTACTAAACCTGGAGGCGCTGGAGAGGGCCGACCAGCCGGATCTTATCCCTAAGCTATTTCAACTCCTTCACGAGAACGTCACGCAAAATGGATCGCTGAAATTTGATCATAGCATGGCCTTGTTTATCCAACCCCAATTTATCATAGAGAGGGAGTTTGAAACCAAAATCAATAAGTTTTTTAATGCAGATATCAAAACTGTTGATTTTGCGGACACAACAGAGAGTATCAGAGTAATCAATGAGTACATTAGGGACAAGACTGGAGGCAAGATTACAGAGATGATTTCAGCCTTGGACGAACAAACCAAACTCCTGTTAATGAATGCAATTTTCTTTCAAGGTAAATTAAATCTTTTTTGCACACTTTAGATTTTGGGTTTATGTGCTATTAATTATACTAATATTCATGTCTGCACCTTTGAACTTTTTTGTTTATAACTAAACGTACAATATTACCTGCTCCACAGGAGCCTGGAAGATGCCTTTCAACTCCAATTTGACTCGAAATGCACCCTTCTACATCGATAATTATAATATTGTGCAGGTGCCTATGATGTTCAAAGAAGACAAGTACTACACTGCAGAAGATGTTTCTCTGAGAGCCAAAGTGCTGAAACTGCCATACCAAGAGGGTGTTTCCATGCTTATCCTGCTCCCCAACCCAGACATGGACTACACTATGGTGGATGATGAGATTACTGCAGAGAGGTTTCAGAGCTGGATCGCAAAGCTGAGAAAAATGTACATGCGGAAAAATGCCTCGCTTTAACCAAGTGTCTGCATATTTTGTTGTTTAGCTGTAAAAATTCTAAATGACCATCAAACAATGCCTGCAGCAGATGAGCCAGTCTATTCAACATGTCAACTCATGTCTTGTTTGCAGGAAACTAGAAGTCAAGATGCCCAAATTCAACATGGAGCAGTCGTATTCCCTGCATAATCTCCTACCAGATATGGGCATGACCAGTGTCTTTAATAATTTGTCCAATTTGACAAAGCTCAGTGAGGACAAAGGGCTCAAGCTGTCAGAGGTTAGTTGTCACTTTCGGTATCATGTAGCGACACATGTGCCTGTTCCCCAAATAGTGCAGCAAAACACTTTTAACCTTGCTGTGAAATTGTAGGTGCTTCACAAGGCCATGGTTGATGTGGATGAGACAGGAACAACTGCAGCAGCTGCCACAACAATCGGTATCATTCCATACTCCCTGCCGAGGACCTTCACTATAAACAGACCCTTCTTCTTCTTCATATACCATGAAAACACAAACTGCCTGCTGTTCATGGGGAGGGTGATTGACCCCACCAAAAAATAGTTTTGCCACTGTAATGTGTTCATTCTTAAGTGGCTTCTACATGACTCATTTGGTGGATGTTTTAATCCCAGACAGTTTAAAGCTTGTTTTTTTCTGTTCTGTTCCTACAACATAATTCACCAATAATAATAAAGACGTCACCTGCATCACAAACTTGGATCTTTTAAATGTGCGTACATCTCCAAATTATGACAACCAGAGTAAATGTAATCACTTAATCGACAAATTACTGCTGTAACTGCATCTGTCAAACAAAAACATCAGTACCACTTTCTAATAATGCACATCTTATCAGGTTATTAAACTGATGCTACTGGTTGACTATAATAATTGTAAATAAAAATTCTTCTTTTGCCTTAAAGGTTTTGTTTACAGTAATTTTAAAAAAAAGGAACTCTAGACAAATTTATTTCATTTACCTGATCACACACACACCCCACCCACTCTACAAGTCTCAGTTTGCATGTTAAACAATGTTCATGACAGTACAATCGAACAGCATGGCTAAAGTTTTCAAAGTTGCATCTGAGAAAACCATAAGAGCCCCTTTAGACAGATGAGACCCAAGTGCACAATGCACAACGCCATGTTTTGTGAAAACCAAACACAACATATCATATCAAAGGACTTTTGGGATCTTGTGGTCATTGAGTCATAAGTGAACTCTTTGTATGCAAATGAGTCAAATGATCAAATTTCAATGTGTAATGAAACAGAACATTGCGGGTTTGGGCAAAGCTACAACAGAATGGCTGAAAAAGGAAAGAATCAAGATGTTGACTCGGTGATCCAGTCAAAGTCCTCAACTCGACTGAAATGCTGTGGCAGGACGTTAAGAGAGCTGTGTATAAATGAATGCCTGCAACCTTCAAGAATTGAAGCAAGAGTACTCTTGCTACGTGGGCTAAAATTCTTAAACAATGATGTGGGAGACTCCCAGAGAGTCACACAGAAAACGATTACTTCAGTTATACGCCGTTAAAGGTGGTCCCGCAAGCTCCTGAAACATGAGGGTGTAGTTATTTTATTTTATTTTATTTTATTTTATTTTATTTTATTTTATTTTATTTTATTTTACAGGACGGCAGAGCCCAACGAAAACTTTCTTTTCCACAAATGCGTTTATTCATTTATGTACTAGATTATATGCTAGTTTGTCAGGTACAACCTTCATTAAAAAATAACTGTAATTATCTTTGCTACGAATAATAAATACTACTGTAGCGAAGCAACTCCCTCGGCACAAACTTCAATACACCTTAAGAAATTACAGCGTATTATCCTTGAACTGAAAGCTGACAAACTGAAACCCTTGACATCCTCGGGTATTATTTAAACGTTTATTAATTTTTTCTAAACGTTTATATAGGCGGTATAAGGGGTTACGTATAAAAAAATGACCAGAGAAATTGAAACAGCGCCTGTTGTTTAAATAAAGTTTTTCAAACCACGTGATCAACACTGTCATGGCTGCGCCCTCGTGTCTCGCGTTGTTGTAATCGTAGCAGAAGTCTAAGAGAGCCTACACTCAGTCGAGGTAAGACTTTAGTACTTACTAATTCAACTAGTAGTTTACTGGAGACTTTGTACGCTTAGTTTCTGTTAATTATCGGTTAATAGTTGTCCGCTGGCATTAAGAAACGTGGGGTGCACGTGCGCTTTTAATAACTACACGTTAGGAACTTCACGAGGTCGGCTAAAGTCACTTATTTTACACCTTTACTTTTTTTCAGAAAAATGAAGACAAAGAAGATGAAGGCGAAAAACAAAGGCATGTCCACCGGGCTAGGGAAGCCAGCGAAACGTTGCATCGACATGAAAGGCAAATGGAAAACCATAGACCTCGATCCCAGCGTCTTCTCCGAGGAGGGCTTGGAGGGTCTGGTGTGTTTCGAAGAGCTCACGGATTACCGTTTAATAAACAGTGAGGAGGCTGCGGCCAAAGCAGCAAAAGAGCTGAAAAGGGAGAAGAAGAAGAAAGCACAGAAAAGAAAAGCTGGTGACGGCGAGGCGGCTGGAGAGAAAGGAGACTCTGAGAACAAAGAGGGGGAGAGCACAAGTGAGCCAGCGAAGAAAAAAGCCAAGAAAAAGAGGAAAAACAAGAAAGGGATTGCAACGGAGTCGGAAAATATTTCTGCACAAGACGTAAAGCAGAAGGATAATGCTGCCACTGAGGGAGGAGAGGATGAGGTAGCAGGTGAGGCCGATGAAAATGATTCTGCAGCCATCACTGCTGATCCCAAAGATGCAAAGAGAAGCAGGAAGAAGAAGAAGAAAAGGGGGAAAGGGCAGCAGACAGTGCAGGATACAGTCCCAGAAGAACAGCCGAACCCAGAGTCTTCATCAGATCTGGAAAAAGAAAAATCCAGTCAAGATAAAGTGACAAAGGCCCCACACAAGAAGGCAAAAAATTGGACAAACGCTGCACTTTCTGGTTCTGAAGACAAAAATGTTGACATGAGTGCGTGGAAGGACCTGTTTGTCCCCCCACCTGTCCTGAGGGCACTGAGCAGTCTTGGATTTGGTTCACCGACACCGATCCAAGCCCTGTGTTTGCCTCCAGCTATCAGGGATCGTATGGATATACTGGGAGCAGCTGAAACTGGTAAGATAAAAGTGATAGGTTTATAGTGTCATGTTCTGTTCACAGATTTTTAAAAGTGGAGCTAATACGGATGTTGTACTTACAGGAAGTGGTAAGACACTGGCTTTCGGCATTCCCATAATCCATACCATCCTGGAGTGGAAGAATAGCCCAGAAAAACCTAATGATGACGCTGAACCAGTCACAAAGGTGGAGAGTTTGTACTTACCACCTGTAGATGAGTGTACAAAATCAGCTGAAGAGGACCAAGAGGAGGGAGTGGAGGCTTCTAAAGAAAACGATGAAGGTGCTGAAGATCAGAATCAAGGAGACTCAGATGAAGATGAACACAGCGACGTAGAAGATGAACAGCTTGGATGTGTTCGGGTAATCAAGAATGCAGACTTTGATTTTGATGAAAAACCCGCTGGTGCTCAGAGTCAGCCCCTCTTAGGACTGGTTCTCACTCCCACCAGGGAGCTGGCTGTTCAGGTCAAACATCATATTGATGCTGTCGCAAAATTCACAGGTAAGTCATAGCTCATCAGAGTGTTACGATAGCAGTTTTCTCGTAAGAGATGTATAAATGTCAGCATAGCTAATGTTTTCCTGCTGTGCAGATATAAAAACAGCCTTAGTGGTGGGTGGAATGGCACAGCAGAAACAAAGACGAGTGCTGAAACGCAGGCCAGAGATCATCATAGCAACTCCGGGGCGTTTGTGGGATTTGATCAAGGAGAGGCACCCACATCTGGTCAACCTCAGGCAGCTCAGGTGAGTCTTAATTTAAGACTGTCTGACTTATTTGCTAGAGGTGGTAATCGATACAATATTATCACAGTACTTCACTTATGATATTATCATGATTTTTATTATTTTGTGATATGCTGAGTATTCCAATAAAATATATCACCTTTTTTAAACTGCAAGTTATTTCCTAAAGTATTATTTTTTTATTATTTTACTTTAGTTTACTATTAACATTTAACTTGCGCTCATTGACCTTCCTATTTTTATGGGAATATAACTAAAATAGAACCAGCTGGCAGCCAGTTGATGAACTGTGCACATTGAGAGACTCATTCAGACTCATGGAAACATGTTGGCTATCTGTCTGGTTTCATATATTAGATAACAATTATTTGCAGAGTGATTGCAGTCAGTCCAAATCAGACTACACCTGTTAGTAGGAAGGGTGCCTCCTATCAGGTGAATCGAGCCCTCTTTTCAAAGTTTTCCCAGAGTATTTTAATGTATTTAATAAAATATTAATATTTGGTGTTCCTGTATCAATACAATATCGCCACACAAAATATCACAATAAGTTTTGTTTTGTTTTTTCCTTCACCGATTACTGACACTGCTTTTAACCCTCAAATCATATCATGTGTGAAAGAGCCTGATTCTGTGTTCTGTGATAAAGGTCTTTCAGGCAGGCCTATTTGTTAGATTTTTGTTATCCTTTCTTAATTCCTCTTCTTCCTATGACACAGGTGTCTGGTCATTGATGAAGCTGATCGCATGGTAGAAAGAGGTCATTTTGCCGAGCTGGAGAATTTGCTGGAAATGCTAAATACGACACACTTCAATCCCACTAGGCAAACTTTTGTGTTCTCTGCCACTTTGACGATGGTTCACAGCCTTCCCACTCGCCTCCTTCAAAAGAAGAAGAAGAATCTGGACCAGAGGAACAAGCTGGAAATTCTTATGGAGAAAGTGGGGATTAAGTCCAAGCCCAAAGTCATTGACCTCACCAGGAAGGAGGCAACTGTGGAGACACTGATTGAGACTCAAATCCACTGTCAGAAGGATGAGAAGGACTTCTACCTCTATTACTTCCTGCTCCAGTATCCTGGGCGCACCATGGTGTTTGCCAACAGTATTGACTGTATAAAGAGGCTGAATTCTCTGCTGGTTATACTAGACTGTACTCCGCTGCCTCTACATGCCAACATGCACCAGAAACAACGGCTGAAAAACCTGGAGAGGTTCGCTGAGAGGGAGAAGTGAGTTGTGCTCACATTTGCAGTAGCAACATCAAGTTGTCTTCAGCATTTATCCAGTAACTGTGTGCCACTGGTGACATCTAAACTTTAACTGTGGGAGTAAGGAATTCGTCTAGTATGCACAAAAATGCCTGAAATAGTTTTGTCTTTATCTACTTTCACAAATTTAAAAATGGTTTTAAAGTATTCACATTTTAAACATTTGACACATTCAAGTCCTGATGGTTTTTGTAGTTCCTGTAATCAGCAGCAGTCTTGAGCTGTATTTACTGTAAAACATTAGTGATTTCTTTTTTTTTTAAAGGCACCTAGCTTTGACATTGCCATTTCTTTTGTTTCTCTTCACAGTTGTGTTCTCCTGACTACTGATGTGGCAGCAAGAGGCCTGGATATCCCCAATGTCCAGCATGTTATTCACTACCAGGTAACCCCTTAAACAGTTGCCCAAGGATTCTCCAGCATGAATAAGAGGTTATCAATTAGCCACAAAACACAGTCCCTGCAGGTTTCCCGTGATGCACTCAGTGTTTATACACGACTGTGCATTTATCATTTGTTATTAAACTCTAGCTCTCTTCATCAATGTGTCTTTTGCCTCCCCTCACCCCCAACCAGTTTCAGCAGATGGTTGCACATCAGTCTTTTTCTGCTGGAGGTTTCTTCCTGTTAAAAGGGAGTTTTGTTGCCAAATGCTTGCTCATAGGAGGGTCTTTACCTTACAATAAAAACCAGCTTAAAAGATGAATGTTGGGCAACGGCTTATAACTACAGCAATGTAATGAGCACTGTTCCTCAAGAAGTGATTTGTTCATACCAGGTTCCTAGAACATCTGAGACGTACGTGCATCGGAGTGGGAGAACAGCAAGAGCGACTAAAGAGGGCCTCTGTATGCTGCTAGTAAGCCCAGATGACATGATGAACTTCAAAAAGATATGCAAGAGTCTTGGAAAGGACGAAGAGCTTCCCACATTTCCCATAGAGACCAGATGCATGGATGCAATCATGGTGAGATCCATCAGCATAAGGTCCTGTCCATTTTTGATGTTAAAGGGTTTAACTGATATAACTTGGGTTCCTCCACAGGAGCGAGTAAACTTAGCCAGGAGAATTGAAAAGGTAGAGTACTACAACAGCAAGGAGAAACACCACAACTCCTGGCTCAAGCAAGCAGCAGAAGCCCTGGAGGTGGATCTGGATGATGACTTATTACTTGGTAAAACCAGCACGTTTTAAAACGAGTTTGCATTTCAAAATAAAGTTTCAATGCAGAAAATTAAGTCCACACATTTCCACAGGCAATGCAAATGATGAGGATGCAGACAGAGAGCAGCAGAGGATGGTGAAGGGGATGAAAAAGGAGTTGAAGCGTTTGATTTCACTGCCCATTTTCAAGAATGTAATGAAGACCAAGTATCCTACTCAAATGGGAAAGCTCCCCCTGCCCCAAATGCCCCTTGCTGGGATGGAGAGTGCCCTAACCAGGGTTTCAACACAGAAGAAACCAGAGACGAGTATCCATCCACGGCAGAAAAAACAGAAGCAGAAGGCAAAATGACTTGTTTATTGAGAGGTTTATTAAAAAACTTCAAATGACACAATTTATAAAAAGGGTAAAAAAAGTAAACAGCATTTTAAAGTCTCTAAATGTTTAGTGCACATTGTGCAACAGATGCTCATCCCCAGATGATGGATTCCTGTAAACTGCAAGATTTTATAAAAATCTAATTTTGTAAGTGTCTTCAAGTCCAGTTGGAATTTATTCAACCGGAGTCAATATTCCTGATTCGAGCAGAGTTTCGTTGGTCATAGTTGTGCCCGAGGGTAGAGAATATCGTAATGAGATGTGTGGTAGAGGAGATGCAGGGATGGGTCCCCATTTTCTGGAATGATGTGGTGAGCCAGCTGTTGTCCGTCGCCTTCCATAGAGACGATGTGGATGGAGATGTCCAGAGCCTGAGACAGAGCCGAGATGTCCACATGATCACACTCCATCGCCATAGCCTCCACTTCCTTAACGAAGAGAAGAGATTTTAATCAAAATCCTTCAAATTATCCACTTTAAATAATTCAGAGGTTCTTTATGCAGTATATGGCAGCAACGCCGATACCAACTTCATGACAGTAGACCTGTAGATCAGGTGCTTCCACAAAGTTGCGGAAGAAGTCTGCATTGTTTTGCAGGTGTGCTGAAGTGAGCAGCCTGAGATACTGCACAACACTGTCGGAGGTAGTATGCTCATTGAAGAGCCTGAATAGTGCAATTACATCTGCTTGGCTTTGCTCAACAACCTGAAGAACCTTCAACAGAAAGAGGAACAATTAGACTTTGCTTTTTTTACAGAAAATATGGTGCCTGTAAGTTTTCATTCAAGAGTCATTTTCTGCACCTTTTTAAAATAACTACACAGGTCTAGCAGGATGCCAAACTGGTGAAGCGCAGGAGTAATACTGTGTTTTTAAAATCAGAACAAACTGGTGTGTAATACAGAGAGATATACATCCAGATGGCCAGATTCTGAATTAGGTTGATATACATACTCAGACTTCCTAAGCCTGCTGCCACCATTTTGGTTCCAGCAGAATAAAATGGTGGCAACAGGTCTTATAGTGTGATTAATTAAACAATGTTTTATAGCCATCTAAACCATGGAAGGTCTACCTGGGGGCTTTGGATGTCCTCCGAAAAGCCTGAGGAACTATCCATGAAGACTTTTAAGAAATGGCAAGAGATGCCTGAGAGTGTTCAGGCTGTGTTAAATAAAATGTAGTCATACCAAATATTGACTTTTAAAGCTCACTGCACAAACTTTTTTTTTTGTAAACCTTAGTCTACATTACAATTACTTTGCACATTTCAGTAAAATGCTGCATCCGTTTTCCCAGGAAAATGTAAGGAAATAAGGGGTGATTCAAAATCTTTGTACAGTTTTGCAGTCGAAATTGTAGACGCAAAGCAAATGGTCCAATCAGTACACAAGTAGTTGAGAAGCAGACATCTGTCTAATGCAGGGGTCCCCAATCCCAGTCCCCGAGGGCCGGTGTCCTGCAGGTTTTAGATCTCACCCTGGGTCAACACACCTGAATCACATGATTAGTTCATTACCAGGCCTCTGGAGAACTTCAGGACATGTTGAGAAGGTAATTTATCCATTTAAATCAGCTGTGATGGATCAAGGACGCAGCTAAAACCTGCAGGACACCGGCCCTCGTGGACTGGGATTGGGGACCCCTGGTCTAACGACTAGGATCTTTTCTCTCTCACACACACACACACACACACACACACACACCAAAACCAAGTTATCATTTGTTCGATGCATGTACTACATACACATCTAACGGCAAGTCAAAGCTCACAGGCTACAAAGTGCCATTTCCCCCCCCCCATTATTTTACTAATGAGGTCTGAGGAGATGCTAATAACTTGTTGGGAGAAAAACAAAAATATGAGTGCATTTACCGTGTCCAGGTGGTGCCTGAAGAAATCCTCCTCAAATCCTGCAGAGACCAAAATTGCGCTGCCCTGGATTATCTTGTCCTTGAACCTAACATTGAGAGGGGCGAGACAAGCACCACCCTTATCAAATCAACGCTGTTCAATCATCAGGTGATATTAGTGACAGCAGTAATTAAATCTGACCTCTGCAAATCCCTGGCACTGTGTAGGACTGACTCCAAGTATGCGAAGCAGAAAGCTCTGTAGAAGCAGTTGCCGTCGCCGCAAACTTTTCTTACGGCGGAAAACTGGCTGCTCAGATCCTGAGAAAGGACAACAGGTCCGGTTATTCTACAGTCGTTATGAGAAGTGACCGTGACCACCTGCACTACATCAACCTCAGCCCTTTTTCGAAATAGCCTACTTGCTGTTTGGCACTCAGCATTTGCGCAGGGAACAGCGAAGAAATGTCCTCTCTGCATGAAACCAAGCTGCCATCCTCCATCTGTGGACGAACAAGCAGTTTTACTACCTGGAAAAAACCCCCGCAGTTTCAAGAGTTACCTGACCGCGTGACGTACCTTCATATTTCAACAACCTGGAAACAATATAAAAAACCCGTAACGACAGTTAAGAAATACGCGTGTCAAAACATTGTTGCGTTTTCGTTCCTACTTTCTAAAAACCGGATGTTTGCGGAAACCACGTGCTTGTGTTAAAGGGCCAGATCGGGGTTTTTATAGCGTGCGAGCCATGTCTTCAGTTTCTCATGAAAGTACTGAATCAGGCTTTTATCTGCTAAATAGGATCATATTTGTATTAAAAATGTACTTAAAATTGTTTTTTATTGTTCATATAATATTTTTCATGCATCGTGCTGGTGGGGTGCTTACAATAAAGCTTTCGGGGCACCCAGTCATAGGTTTGGGTAAGCAATCCGAATCACCAAAATAACAAGAAACTATAGCTTTTTACATTATTGTCGTGGCATCACAGGTTTTAACTCTGAAACGTGGGAAATGTGAGGCAATAGGGTCAAAGGAGATTTTCTTGGCTGCTTGTTTTTGGTGTTTTGCATGATGCAAAGGTGGTGGATTGCTGTTGATTGAGTGAGCATTTACATAATTTGATTATGACCACTTTATTTATTTTTTTAAATAAAAGCAACATTCACAATACAATGTGCCCAAATCCAAATTTACAAGTTCGGATGACCTGTTAAACATGAGGATCTCATTTCAAACAGCTACGTTTTCATTTCCTTGTCTATGACGTCTTAAGTGCAAAGGTTGGTGCACAGATTTTTGAAACACTGAACAAATGTTATAAAGGCAAATAATGAAAAAAAAAACCATTATGTTCTCCTACAAGCTTTTTTTTTCTCAAGGTTTTGGTAACACTTTATTTGCTACGAAGTGGTAGCAAATGCTTCTCCCCACCTCAAGAACGAACCTCCACTCTCAACAAACCATAAGAGACAACACTGTGATGAATACTCAAACTACAACATCAACCAAATGTCTCACTACTCCTGCTGACTTTACTTGAACTTTTGATTTGTGTTTTACTTCCAAAGCTTCTCATTGACCCCCTCTCTCTTTTGTTTGCCGCGGCGGTTGTGCTCGTCATCAAACTCCCCAACTCCATCATCCTCCTCGCTCTCCTCTCCGTGTCTACCTTGTCCAGAATGTACTCCTGAAAGAAATGGTCAGTCAAGATTTGGGTAAACTAAAAATGGACCCTAACAATCATCTCATCCTGCACGTAAATACTTTCACCATGTCCATCATTGTCAGTGCGTTCATCTTTTCCAGCGGTCTGTATTCTGGTAGGTAACACTGTTCTGCAAGGTTGCTGATGGCCATAAGCAGTCTTCCCACTTCTGTAACCTGAAACATGAAGGACACACATGACATTATTTCGATCCAAAGTTCCCAAGATAAATGAGCAGGGTCACATCCAGCTAATCTGGAAGGCACCTTCTCTCTGGATAAGTCTTGCTCCATCTGCAAGTTAACCTCTGCCTGCTTGTTCTTCTCTTTGAGGGTCTCTAACTCACTCTGCAGTTCAGACAGCTCTTTATTGGCCATCTGCAATACATACAAAAACACATCAACCGCTATAAACTACAGTACTGCTATGAAGACATGATACATCTAACATTCGTATTTGTATATCTGACCAGTTTCTTTACGCTGTGTTCCTCCTTCATATCCTGCAGCTGCCGCTGGCCTTCCTCCACCTCCGCCTCCATACGTTGCAAACGTTGCAGCAGCTCCTGGTGTGTGATGGATAAGGTCTCATGACGCCGAATGATGGGCATGACTAGAGATTCAGACCCGTCATCGAGGTAATCTGAAACGGACTGTGTGCTTTACTCAACAGGCTAAACAAAGCAAGTTCATTTGAAGGCTCAATAATGAGCATTTGAACTTACTGCTGGGGAGATAATCTCGTGTTTTTATCAAATAATCCTCATAGATTTTGTATTTTGCCACTCTCTCCTTTAAAACTTGCCTCCTGCAAATTAAACCATGGCAAAGCCGGGCTTAAAAAACAACTTCATGAAAGAAATCTTTAAATTAAAAACAACATTTCAAGGTCTCACCTGTCTCTGAATCCTTTAAGCTGTTCTGTCAAATCTTTTATCTGCTGCTTTTTAAAAATGTTTTGCGCCCGTGAAGCTTCACAGCTCTTTAACGCTCTGCGTCGCTTTGCTTCATTCTCAGCTACGAACTTCTCAAATATCCCTACTTTTTCTTTAGTCTGCATGAAAAGAAAAGATAAAAGCCAGCCACATTAGGACAGTGTCTTTCAGATGATGGATAACTACTACTGCTTCTCATTTAAGGTGGTCTCAGCTCACCTCTTGTAGTTTTATTTCAAGTTCAGACCTTCGCTGAGCAAGGGCCTCCATGCAGGCTTTAAAATCCAGCCGTTTAAGTGCAAGTCGCTTCTCCACCTCATCCAGCTCTGCCTGTTTCTTCAGAACCAGGGTCTTTTGCAAAGTAGTCACTCCTGCCTCCAAGACTCTGCTCGAAGGCTACACACACACACACAAGCAGAACGACTCAGATGCTTTAATACTGAAACCTTTGCAGGCTGCATTTATGAAAAACGCCTCAAAAGAAAAGTTACCAAGTGGTTTAAAAGGAGAAGTAAAATCAAATAGAATTAAAGGTATAAAGCAGGAAATAGAAGAAATAGAACGTGTGGAAGTGAGACTATTTTCTGTGAAGGCACAAATCTTACCACTTTTAAAACTGGTATGTGATTGGCATCATCTTCCCTTCTGTGTGTGAAGAGAAAACTGTCAGTAACAGTCTAAGACAGTAAAGGCATGTATGAATGGGGACATCAGACTAACTTGCTGCTCCTCAAAACCACGGGCCTACCTGCTGTCCTGCGACTGTGTCACAAAAATGTTGTTTACTCCATTTCCCACCTGGAGTTTTTGACCAGGACTGTTCTCTAAAAAAGGAAGAGAATGCGTCGTCATGTCTTTTAGTGGATTTGTCGCTCAGGAATTCTGATGCGTAAAGAAGCGTCTTCTGGTGTTCTTCGTTTAAACGAACAGAAGAACAATCGGGGATCTTTTCCGGGTGTTTTTCTTGGATTCGCGTTGCTGTTACCTAGTGACCAGGGGCCAAACAACAGGGAATGTACCGGGATCGTTTCTTTGTTGTCATAGCAAAAGCAGGGAAGCCTCGGCTTGGTTACCGACCGAGTGAGAGCGGGAGGACGCGAAGAGTGCTCACTCCGTCCCGGTTCCCGCAAAGCCTGAAACATGTTGTGAAAACCTGAGTTGTCCTTGTAGCTTTCGGTGTGTTCATTTTAAAGATCATTTTACTTATAATTAGTTGCTTTTAAAAAAGAATAATTACAGAACAATACTTTAACATATGCACATACTTGCAATTACTTGTTGTGTTCTCAGAAATGATAAAAAGTAAAGACAAAGAGGCTTCTGGGAAATGTAAAATTCTTTAATTACAAAAAACCCGTAAAAGTTATTGTTGCCTTTTTACATTCCTTTTTTATTCTTACTTCAATTAGCTTAAAGAGAATTAAAAACTTAGTGTAATTATGTTTTACGGACATTTGAATATTGCTATGAATTAATAAACAAACACCTGGAAGGATTGTAGATACCTCCACAAAGAGCTCGCATTAAAAATTTGCTGCTATTCGGATTTTAACAGCTGGACATGACTTCCATTGAGCTCTATGAATTCATTAAAACCTAAATTAAAAAGAATTAAAAAGAAAGGGAAACGGCAAATCCTCCTGCTTCCCAACCTTTAAGCATGTGTTAAATGTTAAAATATACTAAGTTTTCAACTTTAAATAATTACTTTCATTTTTGTAACTGAAGAAGTTCAAATTTCCACCTTAAACAAAAAGGGAAAAAGTAAATTTGGTCAAATTTAATGTCACATTTAAAATGCACATGAGGAAACTCTTCCTCCTCAGTAGATGGTGCTAAAGTATGCACTACCATCATTCTGCAAAGGAAGGTCAAAAGAGCATTCAAGGAAAGTCACAATGATAGTCACAAAATTCATATGATTAGAAAATTTGCAAAAAGAAAATGATATAAAATGCCATGAAAAATGAAGTAAATTGATCCAGAAGAGTCTCGCTGTATGGCAGTGAAATATGTGAAGGTGGTGCAGAATAAATATGAGAATAGAGGGGCAGTGTGACGTGTGCTGTAGAAGTGACAGATGGGTTCAAGGTGGAGGTGGGATTACATCAGGGATCAGCCCTGAGCTCCGTCTTGTGTGCAATAGTGTCGGACAGGTTGATAGATGAGCTCAGGCAGGAGTCTCGTGGACGATGATGCTTGTAGATGACGTTGTGACCTGTATTGATTTGATGCCAAGCCAAAACCTTTGAGATGCAGTTGTGACATTTTATTTGTTCTTATCAAAGGCTCCTCTCAGGAGACCATAGTGACAATTTAATATACTCTCAAAACACATACAGGTAACAAATAAGAGGACATCAGGACTGTCCTTGCGTCTCACAAGAGTGGGAAAACTCTGGAATAGCTGCTGGTATGTTGTTTGGACTACTGCACTTTATACGTCACAATGCTGAGTTTGAGGATACCTTTGACTGACTGCAGCTGCTGTCTAGCTTGTCTTGGCGTTAGAAGGCAGCAAGCTTTCAAAGAAAACAAGTATGAGTGAGCCGAGTCTTGCTCGACTACATTCCTGTAAAACATTTTACTCATTTTACTTCCTGATGCCACCACGCATTATCTTCATAATTGTTTTTAAAACCACAAAATTCACATTAATTGTTTTCTACATAAAAATACATTAAGGACTTGCGTTGCTGTGTTACTGGTCCAGCAGTATGTTTGTGAGTCCTGTGCGTTTGTGTGTCACATGCTTATTGTGTTAACTGAAAGTCCAGTTTTGTAACTGTGTGTTTACTGAGAAAACAGACACTTGGTTAAAGACGTACACTAAAAAAAAGATTCTTCACCTTTTATAATATGAAACAATAATTTTGAGTAAAATACAATTGAAATATACAAAATCAAAGGTTTATTTATTCAAATAGTGAATCATTAAAGAAAAATGTGCTTGAATTTATACCAATGAAGTTCATTTATTGGAACAAATTTCATAAAATGTAACATCTATATTGCACTTATGTCACAAAATTCCAGGTAAAGTTTACATGTAATTCAATTTCATTTCAGCCGTAACATTTCTGAGTGTGTGTTGTTATTAACCTACTGCTTTTAAAAAATATTTAAAATTGATAAGAATTCAAAGTTGTAGTTTGTTGTAACAAGGGAAAAGGAGAAGCAAGAGGAAGAACCTTTTCCATAAGATGGAGAGCAGCTGAAAAATAAAAGGGCAGTGGTAGTCAAGGAGTCCAAACCTCAAGAGTAGAACGTAACATTTATTTATAATAAAACAAGCCCAGGGCATATAAAAAATAAGCTAAAACCAAGCTAGAAGTCTGACTTTTAAATTGTATTTACAGGTCCAACAGTCTTGAACAGCTGCTCTAACCCTTACAGAAATCACTGTTTTCACCAGTTATGTCTTGCTTGCTTGGAAAGGCCTTCTTACTGGGCCCAACTCCTCCACTATATCCGACACCAGTTCCACAGATGAGTCCAGGGCGAATCTCCTTGGCATCCATCCTGTTGCACCGCTAAACCTCTGTTGTTCTCAACTTTGTGCCACTTCTGTGACTCCTGTCATGCTCTAGAACAAAGGCACTTTTAAATATACAAAAAACACTCCGGGATTCCCTGTTACAACATGATAGTTACAACATAAGAGTAACTGTAATGTTCAGCTTTGTGGAAACTGTCAGAGGTACAGATTCCCTGGTACTGAACACATCTGTGTTGTTCCTGTCCTGACTTGTTTTTACAGGACGTTGGTTGTTTCTTGTTCTTTGCAGGCGTTTGAAGCTTAGATATCTATCTACACATAGTCTTTGAATGCAGTGATACACAACATCACTGATATCAGTCTATGTTTTTCCAATGACACGTGGCTGATTAATGTGAGATGTACCATAAATAGACTTTTCTTTTGTTAACAAACGAACAGCGTGGACATCAGTTGAAAAGCCGTTTCACGAAAACTCCCTGTTCAGATCCCTTTTTGCTTCCGAGGGGCTCAGCCTATATCTTGGAAATGTTACTTAACTAACATTGGTCCACCTGGTCCAGCCCTAACCAAAGCATATAGTTAGGGCTGGACCAGGTGACCCTGAATCCTCCCTTAGTTATGCTGCAATAGACATAGGCTGCCGGGGGATTCCCATGATGCATTGAGTTTTTCCTTTCCAGTCACCTTTCTCACTCACTATGTATTAACAGACCTCTCTGCATTGAATCATACCTGTTATTATTCTCTGTCTCTCTTCCACAGCATGTCTGTATCCTGTTTCCTTCTCTCACCCCAACCGGTCGCAGCAGATGGCCCCGCCCTTCCCTGAGCCTGGTTCTGCCGGAGGTTTCTTCCTGTTAAAAGGGAGTTTTTCCTTCCCACTGTTGCCAAAGTGCTTGCTCATAGGGGGTCATATGATTGTTGGGGTTGTCTCTGTATCTATGAAGCACCTTGAGGCGACTTTTGTTGTGATTTGGCGCTATATAAATAAAATTGAATTGAATTACTTCTCACACACTCACAAGAGGACCTACACACTTCTTGTTAGGCCTTCATCTTCTACAGGTTACACACAAGGACACCAACTGAATGGTAATAGTGGTTTGACACGAAAATGAGTTCACTCCAATAAAAATCTGGAACTGGAGCAGAGCCACTAATAGTTATAAACAAACCACCCCCATCACTGTTATAATTGTAGTTACAGCTGAAAAGTCCCTGACAACTCTGCAAGGAAGCTCCATAATAGCTACAGCCAACAACTAGCAATGTAAACCTAGATTACCATTGACTGCCATATAATTTGGGGGGTGGGGGGGCTGTTTTTGCCTGGCAGCCATGCTCTGGTCTGGCCTCCTCCAATAAGGTTTGGGAGAAACTCAGGGCTGACAGACTACAGCACAAGAAAAATACTCAACATTACAATCTAGGGAAGTCACAATAGGCTCTACATACACCCTACATACTTCTATGTGCTGTTTTTTTGTCTCTTTTCCATCTTTCTCCCACTTTCTCTCTCCCTCCTAAGAATCCCGCCATCAGAACTGCTCTATCTGTTTTGTAAAATTGAAATCAAAATGCCCATCAGTACTTAAGTCCATCTACATATGTCACTATGTACATGTATAGCTGTGCATGCATGTATTTTTTTTTCCTGTTTTTGTTTTTCTTCCACCCTTGAATATGTGTATGTATCTGTATATGTGTGTGTGTAGGTATGTGTGCAGACATGTGTCTTTATTCAGGTGGACTTGTGTGCATTTGTGTGTACACACATATAAATCAGGTTGATTTTGGGTTTACTTTTTATTGCTATCCCTCTTTTATCCTGTCTGTTTCAACTTGTCTTGTTTTACTTGTTCTATGTCCATGTCCTATATGGATGTTGGTTAAAAATAATAATTAATAATTAATTTTTTTAAAAGAGCAAATGCACTGGTATATCACAGGGAAAGAAAACCTCATGAATGTTATCATAAAAGCTTGAAGAAACTGTCAGAGTCACTGATTTACTGGTACTGAATATGCCTGTTTGTTTCCTGTCCTGACATGTTAGTATGTCGTGACAGGACGGTGCTTTTTTTTGCAGGTGTTTGAGACATACATGTGTTTTCATATGTTTTGGTTTGACTTTGTTGGGGAAAGATCGCAGATTACCCAGGAATTTGCAATAGAGCCCGTTTGTGTGGTTGAAAATAAATATGTCGAAGGACTCGTTCGTCGTCATAAAACTATGAGGCCACTTCCAGTTTCAATAGAGGAAGCACTTTTAAAAAACATTTCGGAAGAAGTAATTGTGAAACAATCTGTTGTCATTCTGCTTGTTCTTCAGACTCATTTTTGCACATCACACAGTCGCAGCAAGAGGTGATGCATGTTATGACAGAATCCTTCAGACCGTCTGATTAGGATTAACATATTTGTTCTACAAAGTAACGCATATTTTGTGCATAAGGAGAAAGAACAATTTCATGTGGTGAGTCTATCAAGCTGTTTTTTGGGGGGATTTTTTCTATCTAATTTAATTCTAATTGTCTCTGTCATTGTTTTGTAAAGTTAATCATGCCCTGTAATCTCAGCTTCATGTTTTTTTGTTATCCTCCTGTTGCATAACTCACTAACAACACTACACACACCAGCACCTTCTCTGGAACAGCAGTACCAAGTGGAACATAACACTGCTGAACATGTCCTTAAAAGGCATCCCCCCTCACTGCCTGAGTCGCTGCTCTCTGATTTCTGCCTTTGCAGATTTCAGCTCTTTTATATGAGTTAGGTCACTAATTCACGTGGGGTGTGTGTATTATACTGTCCCTGTGATTTTATTGCTGCTGTTGATGTTCTAACTTCTATTTTCCAACTTCTATTGTGAATAGTGTTTACTCATCTATGAAAAAGACAACAGCACTTTTTGAGGTGTTCTGCACTTAAGACTGGACAACAAATCTCCTCCTGTGATGATTGCAGTCCAAAAAGCTGGGTCTCTTTACCAGAGACTAAACAGCGACATCAAAGACAGGCTGGCTGGATGCTCCCTGACTTTCCACACTTCACAAAACACCACAACAAACCTGCTCAGGTAAGAAAAGATGCTATCACTTCTTAACACTTAACAATTTAACATTATCTTGTCACCAAATACCGCAAATGCTATTCCTAATAGTTTTTCAGTGAAACATTAGAGATAGTTATTCATGACATTTTTGAGCATGGCACGGCGTGAAATGCCCCCGTGACCTATCAGTATATCTAAATAGCCGTCAAGATGAAAACAAGAGACATGAAAAGAAAAGCGCCGGTCTGTGCTGACTGCCTTAGTGTTGCTTGTTAAAAAAGCAGAGTTACTACAAGTTTTCTGATGGTGAAGAGCCTCAATGGGCTATTTTGTGGAGGCTCAATGAAAACAACATTAATTAAAAGGACGTATTTGAGTAGTAGGTGGAGGTGAAATCATCACGTTTTATAGTTATTTTACCATACATGTGATGCAAATGTTAGGATGTCTAAACCTTAAAGACACAAATAAAACAGCACCAATAGCATTAATGTGTAGTGCTCACAGGTGGCGTTAAGGAAGTCTTTCTGTCCCTACAAGACTGTTTTTACTATGTATGGGGAAGCAACTTGTTAAAACACAAATATTCAGTACACCGAGATTTACTTCCTTGAGAGTCTCTGAAGTTCAGTGGCAAAACCTTTCGCTCTTGTGGAGAAACTGAAACCTGTTAAATGAGATTTAGTGGTTAGATGACACTCACAAACCACATGCTCAAACATGTGAGTCAAAATAAGCAAATAAGTTCTGAGATGCACTGAGGCCATAAACAGGCACTAATCAATATGTGGTGCCTGTAGAATCATAGATGTTTCATATGGTTGGCTGACAAAGTATGAGGCTGAAAAACAAATCAGATGAATAATAACGTGGATTTTATTCATGGACTGGTCACTTTTGAGATTTTTGCTTCAATAGCATATTTTTCTTCAAGCAGGGGAGGAAAGAAAATGTCCAAAATGTACATTTGCATCTTTATTTTACTGCATTTTATTGACTGGACATGCAGATCAGTAAGAGTTAAGTAAATATGTAGTCTCTGTGGTTGATTTGGATATTTAATTATTAAAGGGCATATATTTTTTTTGTTTGTTTCCTTTTTGGTTTGGGTGTTTTTTCCCTGGCTCTTTGCAATATATTTTCTCATTTTTGAAGTGATATAAAAAAGATTTTAAAAATCTAGTGGTAAAAAAACGGCAATAAAAATTAGTAACACAGTTTTATATCCAACATTCAGCATTCCGTTATGGAAAATGTATGCAACTCATTTAGATTTACATAGATTCATAGCTTCATTTTCATAGTTAAGCATAACATTGCTGTGTGTGTGTGTGTGTGTGTGTGTGTGTGTGTGTGTGTGTGTGTGTCAACATCTGACACCAATACACCGCCACTGTGTTTAGCATTTGTTCTCTTCTGACTAAAGATGTTCCCTCAAAGACTTTATCTAAAATCTCCCATAAGTGTATATTTAGGCTGAGAGCTCGTGATACCCAGAGGGCACCCTCATAAGCGGATAAAGATGTTTACTCAGAACTCATTTTGAATTCATTTGCAGTCACCCTTCCCTCCAAGAGGACATGTGAACCCAAACAGCGCCCACAAAATGCCTCCATCCCACAACATAACAGGGCCACTGGACCCCCTCATTATACGGTCAAGAGTTCTATTTTTTCCTCTAATCTGTCACCCATCTTCACATGGTTGAGCAAAAACACCACTTAAAGACACTTGGCTCATCGGTGCCCCCAACAGGACTTAAGTTGTAAAAATCTCGAAGACATAAGAAGGAAAATATGATCTTTGGCATCATTTAATACGCTGGTATCTTCTGATAAACAAGCTACCTGAGCTATAACAGTGTCTTCGTCGCTGGAGTGAAGCTATTACGCAGGCCACGCCTCTAGCTGCCACGAAGGACGCAGAGGTCACATCCTCGGTATTTTTCTGGGAATTTAGGGTGGTGGAGGGTTACATTCAACAGATATATGTGTTGACGTTTGGAGTCTGTTTATCAAAAAAAATATTTTTATTTTTTTATTTATGTATTGCTTCCCTTTTTTTTAGTGACATTTGGCCACCGCCTATCGCTTATAATACAGTCAATGTGCACAGGCTTTTCAAAATGGAGTAGTGATTAATGGTTCGTTGTGGGGGTCTCTGTTTATCTTCTGCAGTTGTCACATATCAGTCTCGTTATCTAACTTGGAAACCAGCCAGTAAAGACGAAAAGAGCTGCCCTTACACTGCATTATCTCCAGAGCTGTTTCTCTTATCTTTAAACGTCGGAGTCTTCTGACATATATGGATAAGTCCGTCATCCTGCCGCCTGACAATACAGTCCCAAAATAATCTGAGAGACCACAGCTGAGCCCCGCTCGGCTCTGCGCGCTGCTCCGCCGACGCC